GTTGACGTGCGCTTAAGCCATGAATAGCCGTGAGGAACAGCTCGTCCTTCATTCGCAAAAACAAGAATGTCCCCACCATGACGGCTGAGCCAGGCATGCTGTCGGAAGAGAGACCAGTGCAGCGACAGCTTGGTGTGCCAGGCAACCTCACTGGCTTGAATTCTTTCAAGTCCCTGCCTCAGATGGCATGGCTGGCCCAGTTGAGGCCGAATTGCATACAGCGCTCAGGTACAGTGGTCTCGCTGGCAAAATGGTCTTGGGCTTGGATTCCAAGAAGGTGGGAAAGAAGGACGGTCTTGATTTCGAGCCTTTGTGCCAACGATGCCTTCGTGCTCCGGTAGATTCTACGAAGTAGAAACTGTATAGAACCGTCTGGGGGGGGAAGCAGCCAGAGCTCCGGGGATGCGAAATGACATCATGACAGTCTTGATTGGATTTGACGGGCACGTTGCTCCAGCCGGGTGTGCGGTGCCAACATATCGGGCGGGGCGTCACGCGGTAGAGGCAGCGCAGATTCGTCTGGCACGGAGCGGCCAGTTTGCTTTCCAGGAGTCCATTGTCCTCACCACCCGCAGCAAGAGGAAGGGAAGGCAACAGCGGCCCGGCACCGTCCTGGTCACCACCGGGATCAAGAAAGGTGCGGCTAGCCTGCCATGGGAACGATGATGCGGCTGCATGAGTTTTTGCCAGGCAGCAAGAAGGGCCCCGAGCAGCTGAAGAAGGCCCAGTTTCGTCATCCTTCCATGTGGTCGACGCAGTGCCTGCGGGCAGTGCCCCTGCAGATCATCGCGACCACCTACAACCGCCCAGAGATGCTGGCAATGGCCCTCACCAAGCGCCTCACTGAGAAAGCCACCTCTTAGCGAGGACTGCGCCCTTGCGAGAGCCCAGGTACAGCAAGATCAAGAAGTCTTTCAAGAAGAAGGTGGCACTGCAGTCCGCCTCTGGGAGAAGTCTCCTGCGTGTGCAAATCAACGGTAAGACTGCACGAACCCAAGGTCTGTCCGGAGCCGGAAGTAAGCCATGGATGCAGCTGGTGGCGGCACGAAAAAAAGGGCATGCCGTAGTTGCTTGTGCACTTTGTGCGTCACACGCACAGACTAACCTCCGGATGTCTGCACATGATCCGTCAAAACACAAACAGATGTAAGAGTTCAGAGCCATGCTTCAGAGCTGTTGCCAAGGACACTGCTATGCTGGAGAACTTGCGTGGAATTCGTGATCGCCTGGGCGAAGACATTCGAAACAAGTGCTAGCCTTGAATTTGTGTGCTTGACAATCTCTGCAATCTCCAGCCCATCAGCATCGCGCTGGCACAACCGCTAGTCAAGGTGCCGGGCATGTTGCACACGCATCAAAAACGTTTCTTGATTTGGCTGCCTCACACATTCAGTCTTCATTTCCTGACTTCGGACTTCAACAACATGGAGATGGGGCGTTTCTGCTCACAACAGCCTTTCCGATGTTTGCTCGTACTAAAATGCAGCATAGCTTAGATGGTCTATGAACATTGGACGCAAAAGCATCTATCACCCGCACATCGTTAACTCGCGAAACATGTGCACACTTGCATGTAAAGAAGGAGTGCTGAAGTTTCTGGAGGAGTCGTGAAGTATCATAAGAATATGGTGCTTCGGAAGGGTCGGCTGTTGGATGCGGAGGTAGCACATGGAATGCCAGGAAAAGCATGTGCACGCCTAAAATATGAACTGCGGCGCAATCGATCCAACTATTTTTGTCAAGGTGAGAGGCAGTCAGCGAGCATGTTTAAACCATAATCCCAACGTGTAGCGGGACGTCCAGGCTTTCGGCTCGGCTTCTCATTGAATTATGCCACCATTTTTAATGATGGTAACCATTTCGTGGCATGAATGTGCCATCCGAGTTGCCTCGCAAGTCGCGAGGCCAGCGTCAACGCACGACTTCGCAGCCGTTTCGTCCAGGGCAATTGCGCGGCGCGACCGTGGCTTCGCAAGCGCTGCACGAGCTCCACACGGAAAGTTGGCAGAAGGCCCCGCAATGCATCCCTGCCCGTGCTTATAGTCTTTTTTCACGTTTGTTTGCGTCCTGCCGAACAGTATACGGTCCTGAATCAGCGAAAAGCTGAAAAGTTGTGACCTACTCCGGCCCTGCTCGGACCGTCAGTTCCCCGCAGTGTCGGCGAGGTCCAACACGAGCTCTAATGCCGTTGACCCGCCACTTCATACCGCAGTTGGCACCGTTTGCAGATGCAAAAATGTTGGCCCACCCCGCAGTGGATTCGGAGGCGGCAAACGGAACCGCGCGCGTGCGCATGGGTGAGCTGACTCGGGCGCGCCGCCTGGCGACGAGGCTATGTTGACCGCCGGAACCGCGAACTGCCCGGCAGCTGCGCTTCAGCACCCGCGCAGCCAGTCTGGCTAAACTGCGAAGGCGGTGGCCTCGGCGTTCCGCAACAAAGGGGAGGTGCAGCAGGCCTTTCTGGCATGCGCGCTCAGCATTTGTTGTGCCAAAAGCAATATCCTGCGCGCCTCGGACTGCGAGCTGCTGCAGGCAGAAGGCTGGGAGGCCTACCCGAGCTGGCGAGCAATCCTCCAAGGAGCCCAGCACGCCGGCCCCGGAGCTGACCGCATGGATGGCAGTTTTGCACATCGCGCACCCGCAACCAATATTTTCGTGACAGCGTTGCCAAGCATTAGGGCGTTGGCACGCTCGCACAGGACCTCATGCAGGGACAGGGCTCGCCGCCATACCAGCAGAGCCGGCCGCCACTCGCATCGCCGCCACTTGCGCCGCTCCCCATCAGCCACGGCAGATGCAGACCGACACATGGCTGTGGGGGGCAAGTCGACCGGTTCGGTGACCGATCGCTTGCCCGCCCACCCGACTTCTCGCGCGGAGAGCTAAGACGCTCGAACACACGTGGGTTGGCGTTGCGCAAGAAGCCGTGGGTGCCGAAGGCTGCGCCACGGCAGTGGCTGGTCCACACCCCCCTTGGGGTGCGGGCTGAGGATCAACGCCGCCTCGATGTGGTCAGCTACGGGGCCAGGGCTAACGGCACAGCGTTGTGCTGCGATGCCACAGTGGCGTAGCTGCTCACACGCACCGGGCAACCACAGCCTTGTACGACCGACGTCGACGGTGCCGCCCTCGCGTGCGGCCGCAAGCCATGAGCTCAGCCCCTAACCTAATGATCCTTGAGGCTGCTATAGCTGGATGTGGCGTGGTTTTTCTGTTCGTTGTAGGTTGTGCAATTTCGTCGATGATACTCGGCTTCCTTTGGCATCACTTGGCAATGCGGCTGCCGCGATTCACGTCCTGGGTGAAGCAGGGGGCGTGGAGCCTGCCGCCGGAACGCGAGGGACTGGTCGTACTTGCCGCTCTTCTCGGATCCGCAGCCTTTATGCGATAGAATTTGCAAGAAAACCACCGCCAGCAAAACACCCTACTGCTGAGGCGCATCCCGGCCTTCACCGACTTGCCGTCGGCCTGGCTTCTCTTGCTGTTCTGCGCCTCCGCTTTCAGCACGCTGCTCTGCAGCGACGCTGCCTCGCCGGGCCGCGGCTGCTTCCTTGCCGCTCTGTCCCGGAGGGCGTGCATGTGCGGTCCGCCGCGGAGCGCAGGCCGCTTACTCCTTGGCAGGACTCCCTCCCCGTGCGCTGCTCGCACGCCTTCCTGACGAAACCGAACAACCCCGTGCCAGCTTGAACTCACCGCATGCTGGCATGTTCCCTGCCCTCGCAACCTCATGCTCTCGGCGCACCTCTGCGTGCTGCTGCTCCGGCACCTCCGGCCTCCGGCTCCCGTTGCCTTGCGCTCCGCGCACGTGCTCCGGGCCACGGACGCGTGGACCAACTCGGTGACCATGCTGTTGCTCGCGCCTGTCGCGACGTCGGAGCACAAGTAGTGCGGAACCGGACCTGTCAGTGATGCACGTCGCCATGTGGCATGGCGCCCAGCTCGCAATTCACTCGAACCGGCTCCGTGCGGCCTTGTGTGGACACCTTCAAGACGCAGCCAGACGCAAGCGGCACCAAACGTAGTGGCACGTCGAGTTCCAGGTGCTGGACGTGCGCGGCTCGTCGTAATCGGGATCGAGGTTGGTAGGCGCTTTAGCACCGAAGCCGCCTCCGTCCCGCGCGTCTCGGCGCAGCACCGTGCGGGCGCGGGCTGGGTGCAGGCCTGCAGGGCTGGTCCGGGAAAAAAAAGGGTCTGCGCGCCTACGCGACTTCCCTGCATGAGCTTCCACTCTGTGGTGAGGCTTGCGTCGTGACAGAGGCGCCGGAACTGCACGAAATCCTTGCGGATGTGAGGGGCCCCGCTGACGACCAGCTGTTCAGACGGAAGAAGGCGTGGGGGAAAAACACCTGTATCTTTCAAAGCTCCCTGAGGGAACGCGCCTCCTGTGAATCCGTGCTCGTGGCGCTGTGAAAAGTCCCTCCTGGCCTTGCGTACAAGAATGCTCCCTTCAGTGGCCCATACAATTGAGCTTACAGTGCAAGTTTCGTGTTTGACAAACACAGGCTCATTGGTTCCGAGGGATTCGTGGATGCGAATCAGCTCCTGGGGTGGCTCCTATGCATGGGCTGGGCATGGGCTGGGAAATGCGGAAATCCCAGATGGCTTTTGTGTTGTTGAACGGTGGCATGGAGGCCGGCCATCATGGTGCGGTGGTGTGCCCGCATTAATGCCCGGTACAGTACGGGGCTGAAAAGGAGATTCGGCTTTGGCTGAACCCGAGCTGTCTTGTTGGCCGGCAGCCGCAGTACACCAAGAACAGGAGCTGGGATTGCCGATCGCCAGTGTTGGATGTTGATGGCTCCCATGCCTTTGCAAGCGGCTATAACAATAAAAAGAGAAAATCATGCCAGCCAAAGTGCATATTCCAGCCAAACACGCGCACGAACCTACGATTTGGCATTGTGTTGCAGAGAATCGGGAGCACTGGCAAAGCTACAGTTGGTCGCGCTGGGACGGCGCACCAGCTTGCAGCACAGATGCCCAGGCGTGGTCCTAATTGAAGCCCCACGGCTACTCCTCTGACAACCTGTGACCCTGTTGCTCCTTGCCGTTTTGGCGCACGCCACTCGGTATGCTGTTGGAGCTCTTGTGCTTTGATCTTCCCTGTTCTATGATGTTCTATGACAAATTTTTATATTGTTCAAAAGCTCGCCCTCTAACGAAGAATGCAACAAACGCTTCGCCTCCTCTCTCCAGCTATCGCCGTCACCAATCCTACATAGGGTTGGGTAAGTGGTGTGTTCATGTCAAAGCACGAATACGGCCTGGAAATGCAGCTGCGTCTGTTGTTTCGCTTTGCCGAAGATGCTCCGTCCGCCGGGACGGCCAGCCGCGCCCACTGGCTGACCATCAACCGGGCCTCGCGCTAGACGAGGCAGTCGACCGCAAACACCGAGCTTGCCCGGATTGTGGCAAGCTCGGCGCTGCCGCCGGGTAGTTTTCGGCTGAGAAAAGTTTCCACTCTCTGGTGAGGCTTGCGTCGTGGCAAAAGGGCCGGAACTGCACGAAATCCTTGCGGATGTGAGGGGCTCCGCTCACGACCAGCTGTTGGCCGGCGCCAACCCCATGCGCTGCATGAGGCTTGCCGTAGGCAGCAGTGGAGTATGGGCTGCAATGGACTTCCGCGAACCACTGGCCGCAGACGGAAAAAGGCGACACCCGTATCTTTCAAAGCTCCCTGGTCGAATTTTTTGATTTTCACTGAGGTCGAAATACGATATCCTTGAGCACACAAATCGATGAGGGAACGCGCCTCCTGTGAATCCTTGCTGGTGGCGCTGTGGAAACGCACATCCTCATGGCACAAGTTTTTCGGCGGGAGTTCCAATGCATGCGCCCGCTTGGCCCTGCGTGCAAGCATGCTCCCTTCAGTGGCCCATACAACTGAGCTTGTGCAGGTTTCGTGTTTGACAAACACAGGCTCATGGGTTCCGAAAGATTCGTGGGTGCAAACCAGCTCCTGGAGTGGCTCGCGTGCATGGGCTGGGAAATGCTGGGCACCCTAGATGGCTTGTTCAACGGTGGCGTGGAGGCCGGCCATCATGGTGCGGTGGTGTGCCCGCACAAATGCCCAGTACAGTACGGGACTGAAACGGAGGTTTGGCTCTGGCTGAACCCGAGCTCTCCTGGATGTTGATGGCTCCCATGCTTGTGCAAGTGAGATGAAGGCTATAAAAATCAAAAGAGAAAGTCATGCCATCCACAATGACAATGCTCATTCCAGCCATACGTGCGCACGAACCGACGATTTGGCATTGTGTTGCACAATGTTGCACAGAATCGGGAGCACTGGCAGAGCTACAGTTGGTCGCTCTGGGACAGTGAACCAGCTTGCAACAGAGATGCTCAAGCCTGGTCCTAATTGAAGCTCCAAGGCTACTGCTCCTCTGACAACCTGTGACCCTATTGCTCCTTGCCGTTCTGGCGCCAATCACTTCTTCGAGGTCCTTGAACATGTACTTTCTGAGTGCGATGTGGCAGGCAATTCATGCAACATGTTCCGGCGTGGGTGGACCACGCCACCCGGTATGCTGTTGGAGCTCCTGTGCTTTGATGTTGCTTGTTTTACGTCAAATTTTATGTTGTTCAACAATTCGCCTTCTAACGAAGCATGCAACAAGCGCCTCGCGTTCTTTCTCCAGCTATCGCCGTCACCAATCCTGCGTAGGGTTGGGTGGGTGGTGGAGCAGTCCATGTTCATTTCACAGCATGAATACGGCCTGGAAATGCAGCTGCGTTTGTTGCTTCGCTTGGCCAGAGATGCTCCGTCCGCCGGGACGGCCAGCCGCGCCCACTGGCTGACCATCAACCGGGCCGCGCGCTAGACCAGCCCAGCTGGCTGGCGTGGCAGAGTCACAGCTCACCCTGACCCTGACGACCTTCTGAGGCGGCCGCAGAAGGTGCGAGGAAACTATGTGAAGAAGATCCAGCAAGGTCCACGGTGCGTTCAGGAGTTTAGGTGCTGCGGGAGGAGTGCATATCACCGTGCGGGCAGCCGGCTGGCGAGCGGCGGGCTGTCCAGTCGGTGCTCGGCGAGCACGTCGCGGAGGTCTGGCAGAGGGCCATCGATGTTTCCGAGGGGCAGCGACAACAGCGAGGCTGCAAAAGACCTGGCGGCCGCCGCCAAAGCCAGGAATCCGGACCACCGCCGCTGGCACGCAGCGGTGCTGCTGGCACGCAGGTGGGGAGGCGCGGCAGCGGGCGAGGAGTCGGACGAACTGCATGTGGTCTCGAGAGAAAGAAGAAACAGAAAGAGATGCTTTTGGGAACTTCCAATTGCTCAGTTTGTTCTGTGCAATAACTGAAGTCCTTGCCCACGTCCTGGGCGGACTGATTGCCGGCCATTCAAGCAGACGCGCTGCTGGCAGCCGCTTGTTTGGTCCGCACATTGCAGTTCTCGACAGAGACCGCTGCCCCTCGCCGCAGCATGTCACGCGGCCGTCTGATTCCGCGAGCTGGGTTACGACGCGGATTTTCTGCGAGGCTGGCAGCATCGTGCTGCCCTCGCCGGTGACAAGCATGCCAATGAACTGCATCCTTCTCACATTGATGCTGCATCTCAAGCCTTGCTGCTGTCGCAGGCCGCGCCGTACGCTGCGCGCACCTTCGCAGTCTTCCCAACCTTAGCAGAGGTAGCGGTACCTTCCTGCCGCGCCCGCCTGGGCCCACTCGATGACAACCGGGCTGCAACAGCTGGAGTGCGGCGGTCCCTGTGCAGGAAGGAGAGGCTGCAGCTGCACGCGGTTTCCGACGACCGCTGCATCGAAGTTGTTGCGAACGGGCTGTCCTTGTGGCATGGCGAGCAATACAAAAAAAGACGCTGTTGATGCCACCATCGTCAGCCCCGTACCACGGGCGGGTGATGCCCAGCATGGCGCAAACGTGCACCCCGGCCATGCTGTTGATGGCGCCGCCCGGGCCGCTGCCGTTTGGTGGTCGTTCGTGTCGAGGTCGAAGGCCGGTTTGGCCGGATGCTCGCCGGGCAGCGTGCGTGTGACACGCAGGTGACCAGGTGGGCGGCTGGGCGTGCCGTGTGGGGACTGCTCCAGGTCACTGCACAGCGCGCCGTCGCCGCGTCCTTGTTGGTGCTCCCAAACGCGGGCGAGTGTAACGTCGCCGGAGAGGCGCCCGAGCTGCACGAGGTCCGAACTGGCAAGGGCCATTTCTGAGCCAGGCTCTGATGTGCAGAAGCCAAATCCTCGCCCATCCAGTGTGTGTGTGCCTACCGAGTCTGAGTTTTGTTGAGGTAGGCCAGGCCATCGACCCAGCACTTTAGCCGACTTCGAAAGAAATAAAACTTCGCGCCCTTGTGTAGCCTTCCCGTAGACTCAGTCGCCCTAGACGTTTCGCCTTCTGCACCCTTGGTTCCAAATGCTTAGCTTCAGGCTTGAAACTACCGATGCTATTCACGCTTGGGACAGCCCCAACCAAGTTTCTACGGTAGCTCGGTGGTAGCATATGTCGGAAGGAAAAAGAGTCACGGTCACAACCCCGTTAGTCTATAGGCTGTATTGTGGGATGACCCACGGTTTCCAACAGTCTCGGATATGGAAGGGCGGCCGCAAGTACTTGCATAGGTTGAACGCACTTAAAAGAAAAACGGAGTCAGAGGAAACGTTTGTGTGGGCTTGTGCGATTACCGATACCCCGCCCCATGCCCTCCAACGGTCGTGCGTAACTCGATCGACAGTAGCTGCTGTCCCCAGCAATCTGGAGAGATGCTGCGCTGTGCTTCGCATGTGTTGGCAAGCGCGCCAGTCGCCAGAGCGGTGTGTAGTCCGGAGGGGTGTATTTAGCACGCTGAGCTAGGGTTTGCGCCGCGCATAGTACGCCATAGCACTCGCGTTTGTCAGCCCAACATGGGGTTCTGGACAGGGATGTAGTTGTGTGGCCCACCGATACCCGACCGATACACCAACAGATGCCCAACCTGCACACACGTACTTCTGCATTTACATACCTACGCATGTCTATGTGTGTATATAATCTAGGGATGGATGGATGGATGGATGGATAGGTGGCTGGCTGGCTGGCTGGCTGGCTGGCTGGCTGGCTGGCTGGCTGGCTGGCCAGGTTGAAGCCCGTGCCCTGTAGGGGCGCAATCCGTGCACTTATAAATCGGCAATATGTATACTGTATACGTATGTACGTGTGCATATGTGTTACGTATGTCTGTATGTGTGCATGTATGTGCGTAGGTGAGTATATGATATGTATGTACTTGTGTATGTATGTGTATGTATGTATGATATACATATCAACTATGTATCATGTATATGTACTATATATGCACATGTACATAAATATATATGAATGTATCTATACATGTATATGCGGTCCTTAAGTTTTATTCAGCGGCCGCAAGTACACGCACCGATTGAGTTATAGGATGATGGCGCCAAAACGGGCCTTTGACGACGACTCATATGAACAACTTGAAAAATCGACGGCAGACACAGCTAGACACTAAAACCAAAAAAACAAGAACAAAACGGAAAGCAACGAAAACATGCAAACATTGGACCAGTGCAGCAGACAGCGAAACATTGAGCAGTTGGAAACAATCCAAAATCTCGTCAAAGCTTTAAAACGCAATAAAACGCGAAACTTTCAAAAAAAATTCCCATGCTTGTTTTCGGGCAGCACCCGCGGTCCCAGTGCACAAGAACGCAAAGCACCGACAAGTTCGCAAGCGTAGAAAAGTGAGGAAAAATCGAAAAAGCACAGGAGCTTTCGAAAGTGCAGAAAACGCGAAAGGCCCAAATGTTGAACACTTCTCGAAATGTTGATTTTTCGCTATTTTGCGGAATGTGCTTCGGTTCTCCTTTTACAACCACTGGTTGCTTGCAGCCTCCGCCTTGCAGTTGTGTGCTTTTATGTTATGGTGTAGAGCTAGCCCGCTCACAAACCCGCCGCCGCAGTTGTAGGTCGCAGAACAATCGGGGCAGGGGTGCGAGGACAAACATGCCATGTACAGTTGCGGGGAAAAAAAAATTGTTTGCTGCGTGTGTACACAAAATCTTGGATGCCTGATTGATGCATTTCTCTTCCTAATGTTTCAGCTGGCATTGGCAACCCCTGGACCGCATTTAACGGCTAGATATGCGCCCGCGAGCACGAAGCATTTGGCAGTCCGATGCATGCAGGGTGACAGCCCCACGCGACATCAGCCAGTGCCTGTGCCGAGGTTTGCGGCATTGGAGATCGACAATATGTGTCGGTGCCAGCCACGACCAGTTCTGTTTGCTGTTTTCTGCCAGCCAGCAGATTGTCGCAGGGTGAAACATATGCCGATTTCATGTCCGCAGGCTCAATGCATGCAGTCACAGTCTTGTTTACCCATGGTTCCTGTTAGTTAGTTGTCTCCGGTGACAGTCTGCCAACGTGCCTTGGCAGCATTGCAATCCAGGCTCTTGGGGATCTTTCATAAATTTATGACAGCAATGGCATTTGCAGATGGAGAATGGGGGTGCAGCGGAGGTGCAGCTGGTGAGACGACCTCCCGCCAAAGGCGGCAGGAGTCTTCGCAAATTGTTTCTGAAAGCTTTGCGAAAGCCAACAGCTGCAAAACAGCAGTATCTTCATTTTCGCTAGAGTTGATTGTTTGCAAAGCACGTAGTCACGTAGCGGTTGTGACGATATATGCGAATCCATTTGCCATGGCTGATTCCACCGGGAATCTCTCGGGTTCGGGTCGTTTGCGCCGGTGTGGGGCTCATCCACTCATACCTATATGCTGTGCGTGCACGAACGCTCGTATTTTGCCGCCGACAGGCCCGTGTGGGCTACCCCGCCGAAACCTTTGCAGTCTTTGGATGATCCGCTGCTGAGGGGCGAGGTGCAGCAACGGTACCCCGAAGAGAATGTCGCGTGGGTATGAAACTGAGAGGCTCTGATCTCACCGACGGTCGTGTCATCACATGCGCAGCTTCCAGGAGACTGCACATGGCGTTGTCTGATGATGTCTGTGCTTGCTTCGCGGGATTGATTGCATGAATTGATTTGGTTTCGAGGGCTGCCGAAGCAACCGAACTTTCCGAAGTCTGCTTCCGCCCAAAGCCTGGAACCAGTGCGCTCGATGAGCACGTAGCAAGCACTGCATGTCCAATGATTGGTGTGTAGCATCCAGGTGCCTGCTTTTCCAGCGGCCGAGAAAAGATCGCCGCTGCAGTTTGTCACTTAACTTTCGAGACAATGCCGAATCCTGCAGTTACAATTTGGAAGTGAGGCCGCTTGAGCATCGGCCGAGCACTTCGGCCGGTAGTGACGTTTCGGTGCCAAGTCGAGGCTGGACACACGCACAGTGAAGTTCACGGAAACTAAAGCATCATCGTCCATCTTTGCTAGATATCTCTATTGCAGCGGCTGTTTCGGCTGAGTTTAGATTTGTAGTGAGCGTGTTACATCACATGGATGCTGTGATGCCTCGCGTGCGCAGCTGTTGGAAGTCGCATTGCTTTCGCGACGTGTGATGCCGGCGCAGTTGACCAACTCCTTTACAGGTAGCCGGGTTGGAACATGACAGTCTTCTTGCACAAGCTGGGGTTAGCGGAGCCGACTATAAAGCCTAGGCTGGACAACGGCCAAACTCTGGATGCGCAGAATGCACAGTTCGCGTGGAAGCTTGGCTTGCAGCAACGGTGGCAAGTTCCACGAGGCCCATCGGGTCGAAGTTGTGCCTCTTGCCGCCTCGGGGCTTTCCGGTCTAAATTGCTTATCAGTGCTTAGAAATGTCACGGATAGGCGAAATCTTGGCGTCGGCCATCCGACGCGGGAAGATTCCGAAGTGGGGGTGCCTTGGTTTGGTGAGCAGGGTCCAACCCATTCGACTTAGACCTAGATGTTCGGAGGTATAGTATGGTGCCGCCAGAATGTCATAGGAAGCTGCATATACCGTAAGTGATTTGTGTGTTGAATCGAGGTTTCCATCCTTCGGACGCTGCAGATTGGTCGACGAGGCATGTTCACGAGGTGTTTACCGGCACCTTCGGTGCGGTGTTGCCCGACCAAGGAGGTATATAGCCTGGAGGACGAGAGCATCGACGAGACGGTAAGGGATGTCATTTTTGGCACCGTATCCGCGGCGCAGAACGCAGGTTTTCACGTTCAGGCACCCGGTCGCATGCGCATGTTCTGCTACTGACACTTGGTCCGTAAAGAGGTCAGCCGCTTCGATCTTTTTCACGGGCATTTCGTGCAGCGTCGAAATGGTGATGTTGCCTTGCTGCTTCACGCATCAGAATACCCGGCGATGTTTCTTGGAATGCAGAAATATATGGCATGGCACGCGCCCGTGGAGGATTTGTTCCCAACTCCGATTTTCCAGGTGTCCAGGTAGCAGCAGTCTATCACGAACTTTCTTTCTTCCCACTGGGTTGTCCATGGTTGTTCGGTGTCTTTGATTATTTGCTATGTTGCTTTCCACTGTGTACGAAAGGAATCCGGATTCTTTCCCAGTACATCTGGGTTACTGCCAAGCCGATTCGCCCCTGCAGAACCTTGGTGCAATCTGCATTGCATTTTTCAGGCCTTATGCTTCGTTCTTTCTTGAAGTCCGCGTCTGCACAGCTTCAGGTACAGTTCTACGACGATGCAGTTCAGAAATATAGTGGTGTTGTTTTCTGACAATATCCGGGCTTTCGTGCTGGATGCAGAAGCGGACTGCGTCAAGGCCATCCTGATTTTGCTGTAACCTGGAAATCGGGGATCCGGGGTGATAGCATCATGGTGGAAATGGCTGAGGCTGTCATTCCAGAATACGCACGAAAGCCCGTGTATGTCCTGTACGAGGACTGTCGTGCAATCCTCGCACGGATGGTGGACAAGCTTTGAGTCACGACAGGACACGTTGGGACAACCGCTTGCTGATGTTTATTTCCTTTCAGATTACCCTTTGGGTTGGACACTTCGCAGCCCAAAACAGGCTTTGCGGAGGCAGCGGGCGAAGCTGTAGAGCTGTTGCGAGCGCCGTCGAGTGCTTCAGCACGCGAGACCTCGGCCCAAAGAGGCTGTAAGACTTGAACCACCTCGATCTGCACGCGAAAACATGAAAAAGCTCAGAAAGTTGCTTATACAGCATGTGAAAGTCAAGAATCCATGCGGAAAAGGCTCTATCAGATCTTCATGCGGCCCCCGCAGGTTCTGCACCCAGTCGCCCAGCATTTCATGTGCCGCAATACGTCTCATACACTTGCAGGCCAAGTCAAGTGCAGGTTTTGAGGCGGAAAGATCCAGGGGAGGAGAAGAGCAAGCGAAAGAGAAAAAGAGCAAGCAGGTACAATGCTTGAGAAAACAAGGTATCTGCACACGCTGTTGACCAAAAAGACTGGCGACCTAGGCTGCAGAGACATTTGCGTTCAGCTCTGCCGAAGAATGTCGTCTGCATAGCCGGAAGAGCGGAATGTAGTCTGCCAGGGCGTTTTGGAAGAGGAAGAGGGAGACAGAGAGAGGGAGAGAGATCAGTCGGAGCAGTGGGATGGATGTGCAGCGACAGCACTGGACAGAAACGAACAGAAAGCCAGAGTGCGAGATTCATGACGCTGGCCATGCAGTTCTGAACGGCAGTCACAGAGCAACCGATCATCTCGAGACAGCTCCAAGACAGAAAGCTGAAGCCGGCGTGAAGGAAGTGGGCACAGCCATTGGCGGAGTTCGCGGCTGCCTGAGAACAGGGAGTTGCTGAGCTATCTAAACACGTGTCGGTCACTGAGGATCGTACTCTGTCGAAAGACTTCCAGGGTCAGATCCAGTCGGAGCACCATGCCTACCTAGTCGGCGCATTTCAACATTTCTGTAAATGCAACCCGCAAGATCGTGAATACTTAGAGCTTCATGGTTCAGGCTCAGCTCTTTAGATGATGAGCACGTCGTGACCCAAGCCACTGTTGAAATAGATATCCATTGGCAAAGAGACGGGAACGTGAGGCATCACTGACTCTTTCAGATGCACCGCCTTTGGATCAGGGCTTGCAGGGTGCTCAGAGCATCTCAGGGCGCGAGACTGTCTGATCCGATTGTCAAAACCTCCTCAGGTCATACCCGGCTCGAAAAGAAAATTTTAAGAAAGAACAGTTCTTTCTTCGGCCGAAGCCTTTGCCAACGGCCCTGTCAACTTGCCTGATGTTCTTTCTTCAGCAAGGTTTGAATCTGTACAGCATGGCCGATCTGGCAGCAACAACCTCAGCAGTGTTTGCACGAACGAGGGAATGTGCTCTGAGAGACTGTGCCGCTCGCAGTGCTCTTGAAGTGTCAGGTGCTGGCGGCACCACCTCCGCCAACGATGGGAGTGAGGCTTTCGAGGTCTCCCACCTTCTTCCTCCCTACCGGTGCGTGCTGCACCAGCAGTGTCTTGCAGGCAGAAGAGCTGGTTGACCAGGTCCCTGCTGGGCGCTGGGTTGAATTAGCGGAGCTTGTTCGATGCAGGAGGTGTTCCTGAAAGATCTGGCCGATGTGGATCATCACATCCAGGAGAAATGTTGGCATGTGTTTCCCGCATTCAACCGGTCCAAGCGTTACAAGTATCCAGTTTGCGCAAGGACCTTGCTCGCAGCATTTTGTTCCAACATCTCGAACGCGCAAGTCTTTTAGATGCAATGGGGCAATGCACATGAACTCACACCGCCGAAGAGGCCTACAGCATACACTCTGTGTCACGGTGCTGAAGGTATGGAGGAGCGCGCCGCTGCCAAAGCCGAAGAGGTCGTGCATGTCGCGCACTGCTCGAAGGGTTTCTCGGGAAGACTTCATGCGTTCTGCAACTATTTGTAGGCACGGCGACGCCGAGAGGCAGAACTTCGCCGTGTCTGGTGCTCAGGTTGCAGCTTGACCAGCATGAGCCCAGAACAACACACTCGGGCATCAGGCCAGGAAGAAGGAGCAGATGGCCAGGCAAACCTGCAGCTCTTGAAAGATAGACTGATCTCAATGTAACTCGAAGCTGGTGGGGCCTTCGGGCTAATCGAGAGAGCCTAATGGCTTCTTAATCTAGCGGAAGACTTCTATCCAAGGCTATCTTGCAGAGTCTGCCAGGCTGAAATGCATAGACTGATATTTAGACATGTGCTACTTACCGTCCAACATGGTCAACTTTTTCGCCTTAGGCTCTTTTGCCGTCTGTGTTGGTCGGCATTAAGCATGGCTTGAATCTAGTGTTGGGTTTTGTCTGAGTGTGTTGGTGTTTTGCAGCCATGTTTGTTTGGGGCAGAAGCTCGTTGTACCAAGAGTTCGTCATCCTTGTTTCCAAGCCCAGCCGTAACTCAGCTCGGGGCCCAGAGGATTCCCCCACTTCAAGAGTGGCCGAAGAGTCTAGACTCTGAGTAGACTCCAGATGCGGCTGCTACTTGCTGTTGCCTGCTTGTCTTTTTCATGCCAGGGACCCGAAACGAAAGGTGGCATTGAAAATCGAAAACAAAAGGAGATTTTCCGGACATGAGGACTGGCGGAGCATGTCTTTCATGCGAAGTTGCGAACACTGTGAATTGCAGGAGGATGAGCCGGATGCCACGAAAGGAAAAGACACTATTCCTTTAAGAAAGTACGAGGCCGGGAGCACAAGTTTCAGCTGATATCTTTGTAGTGGTTTCTTTCCAGAGCGAACCGGAGCTCCAGGTGTACGGCGAAAGTGGCCCAGAGAAAGTGAACATAGTAGACATTTTGCGCCTCGGTGGCCCGTATTTTTGGTACCGTTATACTTACGTCTGCTTGTGGTTCAGTTGAGGAAAATCCAGAGCCAGTGTGAAATGCTGAACGAGAGCGGCGGTGCCGCTATCTTAGCACTAGAGATGACGTGTGTCGCACAAGTGCGGGATTTTGCCCAAGCAGCCGAACCTGGCGCGAGTTCTGTGTATGCCCAGGGTTTGCTCTGCAGCAATCTTTGCATGGGGTGCCCGCGAAGCACTAAGGTTGACCGAATGCGAGGTGCTGAGATATTCATGAGCGAAGCCTTCGAAACTGAAGAAGCATGACTGGTGATGAACTGAGTTGGCGTGTCGAGGCTGGATGCGAGGCACCACAGTGAGAAGCTGCGGAGAGCCTTGACCTTCACGGATCCGGGTGACCGGAATTCTGAGACTTCGCTGTTCCCTGTCAGCAACACTAGAAGCAAACCGCAGATGGAATTCTTGTGGTGTCAATGGCACTAGCGCAGGTTTCCAAGCGATATCTCACCAGACCTTCCTAGAGACGAGCGAGCCAAGCAGCTGCGCAAGGCCTGTGCAGACAGTCCCTGGCAGTATATGAGCAAACATGCTCGAACATGTGGATCGTTCTTTGCCGCAGCACTTCTATGCTCGTGTAGCGGACAAGAACCCTGGAAAGCGTCTGTGCCCATCATGTTTCTGCGCACAGCGAGACTCCAAAGTAGGCTTGTGCGAGGCGTTTCGTCAGTGGGTGCTGGCAAACTGTCCGTTCTATGCTTCTTAGGTACCACTCGCACTGAAGGCCCACCATTCCCAACGCGGGTGGGCAGCAGAGTGGCGGCTTACTGTTCGTCATTGCTCAAGAAGCAGGGACATTCGGTGGAGGTTGTAGATCCACTTGAGCTGGATTTGCCTCTGCTCAGAAAGCCGGAGTTTGCCTACAGGAAGGGGGAGCAGCCAAGAGTCTTGTCGGAGCTGGCAGATGCAATTCGTTCAGCAGACGCCTTCGTCATGATCTCTCCCGAATACAATCACACGGCTTCACCGGCTCTGCTTAACACATTGAACCATTTTGGAAGTAGCATCTTCTCTTTCAAGCCATCTGCAATTTGCACATATAGTCAAGGACAATGGGGAGGTGCACGTGCTGCAGTGTCCCTGCGGCCCATACTGTCAGAGCTGGGATGCTTGCCTGTGTCTGCGATGATCCATGTCCCGGCCGCTCACACCGTCTTCAATGACGATGGCAGTCTGACCAGTGAGGAATCCAATTGGGAGCAGTACTTCATGCGCACTTTCAGCCAGATGGAGTGGTGGGCAAGTGCGTCAAAGAACCACAAACTCCTACGAGACCCCTTCAGTTTGTCGCCAGCTCTCAGCAGGCAACCTGCGCAGCGCAATGCTCCTAAGTGAGGCGGTTTGAAGACAGCAGCTCTGAGCAGTGTGATTTCACGATGCAGGAAAGAGACCGTGGCACGTTGCTTTTTGGAGGGCAGCATGCTCGCTCTGACCAGGTGCAAGGTCTTTCGCTTGTCCGGCTGTTCCGGATGTTTGTCGCCGCCGTAGAAAATGAAATGCACGAACTGACAGTCATGACTTCTCACATCGCAAGATTTTCTGAACAATCGCGACGCACAAACATCGGGTGGTTGGGAATGCTCAGGATAACTTTGGAATGATTTGGAGCACCAAATTAAAACGGAATCCGCAGACGCGCCAAAGACACCTAAAGCCAACACACAAAAACGGAAGAATGGAAGGAACCAATTCAGTGAATTCCACAAAACTCGGACCAGACTCCAACAAAGACCACAGAACATGATAGAGCCATGCGAGATAAACGACAAAAACGAACGAACAATATACAGGCAAAGCCAGAAGGAACATAAGAAACAGTAGGACAAGTAGAAGAAACGAGAAGCACTCGAACAAAAGAAGAGGAATTGAAAACAAGTGGGAACGTAGGAACATCAGAAGAACTCAGGCAAAATCTGCAAGCTATCACAACAAAAACACGAAACACTCAACAACATTCAACATCAAAAGGATCACCCACAGAAAAATGGCAAGCCTGGATTTTATTGCCAGCCCTCACCAGCCATTCAATGACCGGGAATGATTCCGAGTGAGTCGAAAGGTTTTGGTGGAGCTTCGAAACCCCGGCTCCATGAGATCGTCGGATGACTCACCTCGAAAGTTCGGAATGATTGTAGCAAGGCTCTTCCTGGCCCTGTGTTGTTGGAGATGCCAGGACAAGTACCTGAATCAGTTGATCGAGAAGATGAGCACGCTTAGGCCGTCAGGGCGGTTCGTTTCTTGAATAGACAGTCTCCCTGCCCTGGTAGGAGTGAGTGGAAGTACATGCTTCCCTTCGACCTTGACCTCGCCAGCTCCGGATTTGTCGATGCGCATGGGCAGAGGAGACAGAACAGATGCCAGTCCAGGAAGCTCAGTTGTCCACATCATTGCGAGGATATCTGTGTCGAACCTGATTGCCCGCAACCCACGTGCCGCTCAAAAGTTCCTCAAGGACGCGCATGCTGCACCTATCGCTGCACCTATCCGCATTCTTTGGGAAGTAGTGGAAGCGCATCGCTGCTGTTGAGGAGCTCTCGAGCCTCATTGGCCAGAGAATCCAGGCCCAGCTTGCATTCTCGACGAGGTCTTTATGATTCTTCAGTTTGGGGCTGTGCAGAGTCCTGGAGTTTGCAACCGTCGATCTTCGGACCCGGTACGTACGATGTTTCCGGCACTTCATGTGCTTGGCTGGCTTCGGATCGGTCATTTCAGTGCTTCTGGATTGCGCCCAGTCATCTCTGCGCAAATAACTCTGTCCACACAGCTCTATCTCGCAGAGACCACCAGCAACACGAGCCGGCACCACCCGACCACCGTCGCCACCACTACCACCGCCGGCACCACCACCACTGCTGCGGCAGCGCCAGCAAAATCAGCAAAGCCAGCAACACCAGCACCACCCAGCACCACAACTGCCAGGAGCATTGAGGATGCTGGGGATGATGCTGATGATTATGTTGCTGACAATGCTGGGGATGATGCTGATGCTGATGAGGCTGGTGAGACCCAAGTCAGGCCTACAGCAACACCAAGAAGACGAAGTCACTAAGTAGACTGAAACCACCTAATAAAGCACTACTCGAGGCGAGGTCCCAAAACCCCACGCATTCCGATGGTTTCAATGTGCCTCCCATACCACGTGCCGCACGCGAGCCTTGTATTCTCGCATTCTTCAACTGCAGCTAAGAAACTCGTCCGACAGATCTCCGGGGGGATCTTACATGCTTGGATATGGATTTCAAAGAGTGCGTTGCTGCAGTGAGTTGACAGAACACAGAGACATGTGAGAAGTGAGGCCTATGGAGGTCGAAGGGGTGGCATTGTCGGTGGCTACACCTTGCTGGAATCACTGGGCTCGAAGGACATGGCCTTGAATAGGGAAGACAGAGCTTGCGAAGCGATCTGGTTTGTAGGATCCAGTGTGCGCAGCCAAGTTGTTCCAGCCAGCCTTGGACTCCTGTCAGTGAGAAGTGCCACTTCCACTTTTCTACCCAAGGTCCTCGAAGGACACGCCAGATCCTGTTCAGCGCATGATGAGCAAGAAGAAGAGCCAGGCAATGATGTGCTGATTCACTGGTCCAGTCGTCAGACTGACGGTGTCCTTGTCTCTCAGAAAGATCTACAGCGCAGCGACACACAGCGGGCCATCTCCAGGAAGTAGTCTTCTTAGACGATTTTGGCAGCGAGGCATCAGAACTGCCAATTGATGTGCCAAGGCGGTGGTCGATAGTCAAGGCTGCAAATCGTATGTCCAGCGTACAGTGATGGGCTTACCATGTGCACCTCATCAGCAATCCAGGCGTTAACGCAGTGGCTTTTGCTCTGGTTTCGAAGACGACGCCTGCACACGCCTGGGGCCCATGTGCTGTGAGAATGTTGCCGCAGGGAGTTTGGAGTCGTTTCAAAATCACAGACACGAGAGATGAGGTCAGCCAATATATGTGTTATGGCTACTTGCTTGCAGCACGACTGTCGCTGGGCAACGCAGTTTATCTGGCACGTGGTCTTGCACAGGTCCTGCGACAGATGGGTGAATGGTCTAGGATCAGGAGCGCCAGCAGCTACAATTGGCACTGGCGTCACAGTCACAGGAACCACTCCAATTGCCAGGAGTGCAATGAAAGGCTTTGTCGACAACGTTACTCTTCTCCAGCGATGGTGCAAGCGGTTCCTTACTGTAAAAAGGCGCAACTATATAGAGGTGGCTTTGTCATGGATGACTGGTTCGGAATTCCTGTCTTGTCAGGCGGAGGTGTGGGCTTTGTGAGAAGGAGTGGGAGAGGCGCACGCATCAGTGTGTGGAGTGGCTGATTTGAAGCATCTTTGGTGCCATCGTTGAACAGGTTTGAAGACTTCCACTTGTCCCATTTCTTCCGCAACAAGGCCCAAGCCATCATTCAGGACGCCGCAGCATTGATTTGTCAAAGCATGCATGATACATGTCTGTACTGGTGCCAATTCCCCAGGCTTGGGTTCTGAATATGCCAGGAGCAGAAGGAGTTAGCGGCCACGGAAGCTATGGGTGGTCAGGGCAAGAGGCCGCGGTTAAATCTTGTGGCCTGCGGCCGGTGCTCTTGTGCAACTGCGCCGCCCCTGCTGCTGGCGCAAATACCTTCAGATACATGGTGCCTCAATCAGAGGCATCATGGGTTTTTTCGGTCAGTAATGAGGTTGAATCTGCTATGCATTATGCGTGTGGCGACAGGCAGTACAAAGGCATACAGTCTGGGAAAGCCAAGCGGGACAAGCAGGCAAGATCTGGGAATTGAAGCGGGTGCACGGGGAAGCCCTTAGCTGGACGAGACGCATGCTTCGTTTCAAGGCCTTCCTGAACTTGCTGGAAGCTGGTGTTGAAGGAGGTGCATCACGCGTTTTTACGACATCCTTGGCTGATTGGACAAGTCGTGGGTCTTTTCAGGCGAAATATCTATTGACTTCCGAGCTTACAAGATCCCCCCTGCGGAAAGGCGGGAATTCCGATTTGCTCCACGGTGTTGTTTCATGCATCCTGTCTGAAGACTGTATGCTACTCCCAATCGCTCAGGAGAGCCATTATCAACCGATGGTACATGGTGACTTTGAGGCTTCGGGTCTCGACGCTATAGGACTTCGCCACTGTGTACCTGCCTCTTGGAGGAACCATGTACGTTCAGAGCAGACTATCGCCTCGACCTTGGATCTGTGTGCTGCAGCAGCTCATGAAATCTAGTGGTGAGGATTGGGTTGACTCCCAAATCCTGTTGCCAATGCGTTGTTGTGAGGCTTTGACCATAAAGGAGATGCTGGCGGCCGAACGGGTGTCATGCCTCAGACATCATCCCCGCTGGAGCTAATGCTTAGACATAGTCCGCACAGTAGCTCAGTAGCATTGCATTTGCCAGTAGAGCAGCAGTAGTGGCAGAAGCAGTCCACGACGACGACGACCGGTACCACGATCCCGACTGCTACCACCACCGCTGCTGCTGCTGCTGCTGCTGCTGCTACTAAACCCTCTTTATCCGTCTTTGGCGTGCCGGTGGCAATAAAACTACTACTACTACTACTACTAGTAGTAGTAGTAGTAGTAGTAGTAGTAGTACGACGACGACGACGACTACTACTACTACCACGACGGCTACGACGACGACGACTACCACCTATGTTACTACTGCTACTATTACCACCACCACACCACCACCAACAACAACAACCATACTCTGCCGCTCCTGCTGCTGCTGCGAGCACGTCATCCGGGCGTAATGGCAACGACGCGAATAAGAAAGTGAGCAGCATCTTCTTCCGTGATGAAGACATGTACAATGTTGGAGCGCCTGTGGCATTGAACCATGTGAGGAACTGGAGCGCTTCGTGAGTACGTGCTTTGGCCAGCACATTGCAGTTCATGCGCATCTGCCGAAGCTTCAAGGTTTTGGCACCTGCCCAGATGCCTTGTTCCGGTATCTGCGGCTGCCAAGTCGCCTTGCTGTTGATTGAGGTTCGGTTGCAGGACCGTTGTGCAAGTCGCCCCCACCATAGAGGAGGAGGCTCTGAAGAATGTGGTTCGAAACTTGAGCTTACAGACATCGACGCTCCCCCCCTCTCTCTGCATTTGGACGTGTCGCCTTTGCCAGGTGGACATGGTGGACGACAAAGGAAGAAAAGTGCGAAAAGGGCAGTTGAGTGATGATGACATGTGGCAGCTTCGTGACCCTGCCGGTGACGAGACGCTTGCAAAGTAATATTAGGAAGCCTGAAGCCTCTCTAGACAAGAGCATGGAACCACTCTTTTGCTTGCTGCTGCATCATCGACCACTTAATGAGTCATGCTGCATCGTCCACGATGCCAGCAGCATGCAACCAGGCAATCTTTCCAGCCGTAATGGCTAGCTGCGAGCCATCAGGTATTGGGGCCAAGCTGAAGCACGAATGGTACAGAGTTACCGAGGCCTCCCATGTCGTGTTTTTTGCTTGCGAATACTGGCATGTTTGCGATCTGTGCAAAGTGTAAAGTGGGGCACCCTTGTGTCGTTCGGGCTGAGCCGACTACTGTTCAATTCATTCCAACCCAGTGAGTCCTGCCGCTGGCGCCGAAAGTGAATCATCTTGAGGCATGACGCCTCTCGACTGTGGAAAGGAGATGCCTGTCACAAATGGCAATGAGAGACGGGTATGTGAAAACACAATTACGCTCCCGACGATGGGAAACGGCTGTCTTGTTTCACGCTCCGGACCGCTAGGACTTTTCGCAAGCGCCTGCAGCCCAAAACGACAGCCAAGATAGGATCAAGCGGACAAGGCCAAACGATGCAAGAAGCTCAGCAACAGGTGATGTCAAGCCAGTCGCCGATACTTAAACGATGAGAAAGATGAGAGATGTGTCCTCCTCTGAGACTTCTGAGACTTGTGCTTCTGGTTGCCAAAACACCGACTTGCGAGGATCCCTGCCTGCATTGGTGCGAGTTGTGAGAGTCAAAACGACGAGAGCAGTGGGTAGGGAAGGGCAGTGAGTGTGGAGCAGGTGTCACGCAAGCAGTCGCTGGAGTGATGTCAGCCCTGCAAGCAGAGTTCGGTCCTTGTCGGTGGTGGCCGAAGAGCTCTGTGGTGCTCCAGCCGTGGTACGGAGCAAGAGGTGCTCGAACAGGTTCCCAGAGAGCAGAAAGGTCCCAGGTTGGGCATTCCCAGGTGCATCAACGTAATTGGTGGCTACTTGGGCATCCAACTGAGGATTAATTTCGCCGGGTGCTCCGCAACATCATGTAGACGTGCTGTGTTGGCTTTATTTCGGATGCACGTGTTTGCATGCTTCCTTCTTCTGCATCTGGCACACGGTAGCTGCCGGAGGAGTTTGTCATCAGATGCATTGCCGTGGCCGCGCAGGCATTTGTCAGTAGATGGCCGTGGGCAGGAATTGAAGCTATGTCTGCAGACCGACAGGCAATGGCTCAAATGGCACCGTTCCAGGACCACCCAGCCAATCGCGTGCTGGGCTTGAACTTTAGGTCTTTGGGGAATTTGCTTTGCATCGTTGGTGCTTAAGAAAAATTTCTTGCCATTTTCGCAGCAATTTCGGTTTCAAGCCTCCGTGGCCACAAGAGCCCACAAGAGCTCTGCTAGAGGCACCCTTGTAGTGAGCCATGAGCGAGGTTGACTGGGGCCCAGCAGGGCAGCAGTCCTGGGCGACCATGGATGATGGCTGCGATGTTTTGGTGCGAAAGTGGGCGCCGGAAGGAAAGACGGTTGGCATTGTACACATTTGTCATGGGATAGGCGAGCACTCTGCGCGTTATGCAGGCTTGGCACTTCGCCTCGTAGCCGAGGGATTCATCGTTCATGCATCTGACAATCGGGCTCATGGGCAGACAGCCCTGAGAGCCGTGGAGAAGGGTGCAAAAGGTCATCGGCTTGGGCACATGGATGCTCAAAACGGGAAGGATGTGGTACAGAGGATTGTGCAGGACCACGTGTTTCTTTGTCAGCGTGCCGTGGAAGATCACAGTTTGCCTTTGGTAATCCTTGGTCATTCTTTGGGCAGTGTGATCGCAACCCTCGTCGCTTCAAGCTTGACAAAAACCGCACCTGCCGCCGTCATACTTAGTGCAGCACCTGCCAGACTTCCATCGGCGGTGAAGCTGGCCTTTGGACCATTGCTGCAATTCCTGGGCCTTCTGCGCGGGGAGGCAGGAATATCGCCTCTGATCAGCACGCTAACCATGGACAAGTGGAACAAAGAGTTTGCACCCAACGCAACTGAGAGTGACTGGCTCAACCGTGATCCATTGGAGGTGCAGAAGTACGAGGACGATCCTTTGTGCGGTTTCAAGTGCAGCGTTGGTTTCTGGAAGGCTGTCTTTAGAGCCGTTCAGGCAGCCGGCAACAAAGAAACGTTGATGAGGTTTCCGCGGTGTCCGGTGCTGTCGATCCAAGGCGGGCAAGATCCTTGCACTATGAACGACCTGGGTGGCAACTCTGCTCTACAGCTGGCAAACGAATTCCGAGCAGCCGGCCGTGAGATACACAAGCGTATCTCCTACGGTGATGGACGCCACGAGATTTTGCTCGAGACATGTAGAGAAGAAGTCATGCAAGACATGGTCGAATTCCTGCGACAGCATGTGTTATCGGCTGCCCCGCGAAGCAAACTTTAATGCATTCAAACGGCTTCGATTTGCCAGGAAAATTCCGAACTGACGTGGCAGCTGCAGTGGAAAAACAGAAGCGACATTCGCATTGCCAGTCCGCAATGAAGCGTTGATCAGGGAATTAGTGTTGATGAGTGAGACATCACCATGGTACCGTTCAGCTTTGCACCGCTGAGGGCCTCACTACAAGACCAGTGGCCGTGCCCTACGATGGGGAGGCCGGACATGCAGGTGACATTGCAAAGCGATCTTGGCGTTTGGCCATGAACCCTCACCAGCAGAAATCGGGCAGAGCTTGCAGGCGGACAAGAGGGTCTTCGCCACTAAAGTGGCATCCTCGTTGCTTGCGTTCTTCGACAGTGACGGAGCTTCAACGTTCAGCCAGATAGGTTTAAATCTGCAGGGCAAGGTTGTCTATTAAAAAGGGCAAGGTTGTCTTGTACGACTGTGGCAGCCTTCGAATAAACCGATGCTTCTCTGGGCTTCAACCAAGGGTTGCAGCTGTTGCATCCCCGGGGCTTCACAGTGAGCCTCAAGCGTATTAGTGTGTAGGCACGCTTTCTAGGGCTGCACAGTATCCAGAATCTAGAAAACAAGTCTCAGACTACATGGTGGTTGCTTCTCGCAAGCCGTTTTCTCTGAGGTGGTTCGAGCTGCGGCTCGTCCTTGCGACCTGGGACGCTTGGGAACGAAGTCGCTGCAAGTCAGGGCCGGCTGCCGAGAAGGCTTTGCTTGCTGGGTACAGGCTACAGTAAGTCCCTCCAAAACTCGACCTGAGCCCTGGAAACCCTAGCCGTAGCCCTGGCTATGTCTCCATTTATTGTGTGCCAGGCAAGCGGCAATCGGATTAGGGGTGTAGGGTGGTCACGCTTTCTGCATTGCAGGTCGCGATTCCGGATCGCTGGAGCGGTCTCTCATCCTGTCTCTGCTAATTTGTTTCTGGAGGTGGTCTGCCTGCAGCAACATATTCCGCTCTCCAGTCCCTCGTGCAAGATCATCTACGGAAGAATCGAAGCGATAACCATCGCCAGATAAATTCTGCATTGAATAAACCATGGATCTTCACCAGGCGAGGCTTTGGTGCCAGACCTACAGGGGGCAGGGTGCACATCTGAAGTTTCCCGTGCAGCCAGAGTGAATGACTGGCCGTGGTTTGTTAATGCTAGACCTTGTTCTGTTTGCTTGTGAGTGACAACAGCTTGGCAGCTAATGGTTGGAACGTAGCTGGAGCAGGACGATGACAGCTCTTGTCAAGTAGATATCACCAGCCCAGGAAACGGGCTTTATGCTTCTCCACACTGCACCATGATCAGTCAGGCATACACAGAATCATGCATTTCAACAGGCAGGCTCAAATGCAATGGTGCGATGAACTCGGACTCTAGCGAAACCAGCTCCACAGAGACTTCAGACGACTCACTGGACGAGGAGGCCATCCCAGCGCGGCGCTTTGCCGTGGACATTGTGGCACTGACTCAGGAGTGGGGTCATGCCGACTCTGACTTGTCCGAGGAGGGGATGTCCCCCGCCTGCCAGGGACGGAACACACGCTATAGGAACATGGCGCTGGCCCTAGAGGCTGCAGAGAGGCGCCTGTCCACCAGGAGCAGGAGCCAGTTGTTTCTGTGGCCAGTGTGTTTTGAAAGCCCGCGCGTGCAGGCCTTGTCCAGCTTCGTCATTTTTCTGACAACAAACACTCGAACGATGGTAAACGCAGCGGTAGTGGACCACTACCTCAACAGAAGTGGCATTGAGCCTTTTGATGAGTCGACATGGAAGCTGGATTCGCTCGCAAAGGATGCTTGGTATTTCATCTTCCTCGCCATGGACATCAGCTTCATGCTTTTTCAAATCGCCTGTGTGCGCCGTGACAGGCGCATGGCGCAGCTCTGCCAGCGTTTGTGGCAGGAAGGTGCCTACATCAGGCTGATAGCATTCCAGTTCTACGCAATCATCCTCCTCGGGATTTTCTCAGGCTGGCAGCTTGTTCGTGGATACCGACAGCTGAGCAACAAAGGGTATCGGGACAGTTTCCTTCTTGAGCTTGGGGACCCATCGATGGCCGACAGTGGTGCATTCCGAATGCCTTTCTATAGCAGTCACCTTACCTTCTTTTACGAGATGCCGTTCATGCTGCGAATATGTCATTTCCTGTCGAGAGACACACTATCATCGTTTGATCTGATTGTTTGTGTTGCTGCCGGCGGATCATTTGCCCTCGTGCTGTTTGCCTTGCTCACTCTAGATTACGGCGTTTCAAGCACTTTGGTGAGCCAGTACCAGACCGCGCAGCGATGCCCTTTCAGTGTCGTGCATGCTCTCCTTCGTGGAACGGAGATGATCACACGTACTCTGGTAGTGACATCAACCATGCTTGTCACTTCCTGCCAGTTTTTCGGACATTGGCTCTTCTTAGCGGCTCTGAGCGACTGGGTGATTGGGCTACTGCTGCTATCATGGGCATCGAGCGGATTTTCCAAGAGAGCTTTGTTTCTCTCCATTCCGCTCTTCGGTTCCAACATCGCTCTCTTTGTCGACTTGCCAAGCTTGGCTGGTCGGGCACGAACTTTGACAATCTGTTTGGACGTTCTGCGGTCCTTGGAGATGGGACCTGCCATTTACTTATATCTTCTGGAACACTCAGCCATTCAATCGGGCCAGCTCAGTGGAAACACCGGTTTCCATATTCGAGTGCTGGGGTAGCTAGGCTTTAATCTGAAAGCTTTTCTGAGGTTTTGCGTGTGCAAAGTCCCCGACGGTAGCCATACCAAGAGCTCGGCCCCTCCCTGGTGAGGTGTTTGGTTGCAATGATATTGGGCTGGTGTGTGCACATGCTGCTGCGATGCTTTCTCGCCGCGGGAGGTCTGAGACCAGTGGCCAAGGATACAGCACCCGGGAAACTGGAGACTGCATGTTCGTTTGATGACGCGGTCTTTGGTTCTTCCTTGGACGAGGCCTACTTCTATCAAGACGGCGCAGTGAACCTTGCCGGCTGGCTCTTCTCCAAGGGCATCGGTGACCAGTTCGCTTCCCTGCTGGAAATTTGTTGGGAACGTCAGCCCTTAAGGCTGTCGCGCCTGGAGGCCCTTGCGAAATTGGGGGAGGGTGGCTTCGGTCGAGTCTACAAAGTCTGCGATACTAGACGAGGAATGGAGTATGCACTGAAGCTCCAGGGCCGAAGTCGAGTGGCAAGAGCAGCCGTTCGAGAAGCAAATGCACTCCATGAAGTCAAGCACCCATACGTTGTAGAGCTCATTCAAGTCTTTTGCACTTCGTCCTTTTACTGCATTCTTCTGGAGTTGTGTGACGTTGATCTGAACCGATACATCCTCGACAGCCAGAATGCCTTCGGAGTTGCGGAGGGCCTACCCGAGCGAGATTCCGGGATGTTTCTGGGGTGCATTTACTTGGCTTTGCAGCACCTCCACGACAGAGAAATTGTTTTCTGCGACCTCAAGCCCGAGAACATTCTGATCCGGACCGTGCGGAAGCCAGCAGAGCTGAAAGTGGCGAAGCTGGCGGACTTTGGATTGGCAAAACACATTGACAAGCTCGCGCAGTCTTCTGCATCCTTGTGTGGCCGTTTCTCTGGAACTCCGGCGTTCTTGCCACCGGAAGGGCCTTTCACATCCGAGTCACCAGTCGATGTGCCTCAGTCTCCTAGCGCTGTCTTGCACCAATTTGTTACACGGGACTGGTATGCGCTTGGTTGTGTCTTGTTCCTGATGTTATTCGGTGAGGTTGGGGGAAGGAAGGTTCGCTATGCAGTTCGGGCGATTCTTCTGCCACCACCGTGTGATGTCATTGATGCCGTAATCTCTGATGCAGTGATTGCTGGGAGTCATAATCAATCAGCGCTTCAACTGAACAAATCTCTCCTAGCGCCGTTGCCAGAGCGTGGCGGTGGGGAGGATGTCAGGAGAAGCGCTTTCCTGGTGCAGACACTTCCTGTCTTGGAGAAGATGGCCGCGGACTTCAGTTCTGCGCGACGAGATCGGCATGGTGGCTGAGCCTCTCAGTAGCTGAGTAGCTGCTCAGGTCTTGTCTTGCTGCCAAAGAGCAGATCCGTGCAGCCCGGAACAGGCTCCACAAAAAGCTGTGCCAAGTTTGTTTGGTTTACTTGTAAAGGCTGACGGCTTCGATTGCTGCGGTTTGCACGTCTTCGAATCACACTCCTTCAAGTCTTCAAGCTGCCAAGGCTTCCAAGGCTCGACGCCTGGACGAAGAGTCGATCACGAGCAAGCCGAAAGGACAGTGGTTCGAGTTTGAGCACTGGAACCTGAAGTGGTACTTGTAGGAAGTCAGGCGTATTCAGGCGTTTTCCGGGCTTCTGCAGGACACGTGGAGCCCAACAGAAGGAATTCCGTGAACGACACAGTCGCAGGCACGTTTCTGAAATGAGCCCTGCAATGGACAGTGCCGAACACCTCCAGGAAAGCCGCCGACCTCTTCTCAAGACATTGAGGATGTTTTGAAGCAGCTCACGCAGGGATCCCAGACTGCAAGCGTGCCGTGGCTTGCAGCCTGCACCTGTGTTGCTTGGCTGCTTTGCGAGACATCCAAGGCCGCGTTTACGTCAAATTAGTGAGGCTCAGAATTTGGAGTACAGGCTCGCTGCCGGGAGGTAAAGGGATGGGATTGATCACATGCGCTTCTGGCCGAGTTCAGGTTGGGCAAATCCAAGGAGGACAAAGAAGAGAAGTTCGATGCCGAGGGATGAGTAGGTGTAGGAGGTTGGGCTGGAATGAAATTCACATCAGGGCATCGGGGAGCTCAAAAGCACGGCAACGTCTGCAGAACTTGTCCCACGCACCAAGCCAAAAAAAAATAGAGGCGCATAAATCATAAACTTTTTTTTGGCGGGAGAAGTGTATCTCAATCATCTCCTAGGGATCCGTAGAGTATGCTCTTGTGGCAGTAGCGGGACCGAGTTGGTCCCTGGAAGGGCAGGACCGGTCCTTGCCGAATGCCGAAGGCAGGCATGACTGCAATTCGTGCCTTGCCTCGTGTCACCGTTAGGTCTTGCTTTTATGCAATGGCCTGCAAATGCAGTTGCCGGTTGCTGCAGAGGGTTGCGGGGCTTCTCCCATAACCTCACATAACCTGAGAAGGAGAAGGATGTCCACGGGTTTACTGTCCAGCAACCTCCTGCTCGGCAAGACATTCGGTCATAGTGGCGAGCATTGCTATCCCTCGTCATTCATCAAAACCCATTGTGCCTGCTGTGGAGGTCGTTAGCCATTCTGGGGCTGCCCTGCAAGCTGAAGATGGCCCCGCGCACGCAGGCGAGTGACTGCGGCGAAGGCAGCGGAGACAAAGATGAAGCAGTCCTTGAACCGAACCAACAGTGCCAGGCCTTCAGGCATTAAAGTGTGGACGTTGCAGTCGGGCTGTCCGGCAGCTTTGCGACTCCTAAGCCTGAGGCCCCGACCCTCAAAAAGTCTAGCACCAATGCGGGGGGACCCAGTGAGTGTGGCAGAAATTGTAAGTGCACGGATGACACTGTGCTGTGCAGAGCGAGATGCCAGAACCCTGCTGTGCAGGAGACCGGTGCAGGCCAGGCAGCAGAGGGCTTCGGTGACAAGCAACGGCCTCAGTCCTGCAGCCCTGGGGACTTTCAAAGGTCTTGCCACGTTCTTGCGGCAGTATTGCATTCAATGGTCGGGTGGAGTTTCAATTGCCCAGAACTGCCAAGGCCGCCCGAAATCAATATTGCAGATGCAAACAACGGCACCACAGCAGCTGCAAAGCCGAGAGCTTGATGCTTTCTGATATAATGCTCACCGCCGCGACCCTGCTACTTCACAGGTCTTCCCCTGGAAGTTCGAAGTCGTTGAAGGTGTGATTTTTTCTGTAAGCTGTTGCATGACAGTCTTCGTGGAGATACAGTACTTGTGGGATCGGCGATGTGCAGCTTCTGGAAGGCTGGTGCGGCTGCTGGGCTTCAGTTTGCACCCCAGGACCTAGGATGACTATGGAACACTGGGAGATGGCAGTTTTTGCGCGACTGCATGCATTCTCTACAAAGCACGATGCCGCCAGACCCAAAGAGTGGCGGGTCGTGGCACTTTCACGGGCGAGTTGTGATCTGTGCTGTGCCGTGCAGATGTAACCATAGGTAACATAGGTATAGGCATCCTCGCTCCGAGTGGATTTGCGAGTCTAACCCTTGCGCCTGAGGTGAAGACTGCAGCCACCAGGCTGGATGATCCTTCTCCTTTTGAGTGTTTCATTTGCGTACACGTTTACGGACAGAGGTGCTTGACCCACCCACCCCACCCCACCCCAACCCAACCCAATCCACCCCAACCCACCCCACCCCACCCCACCCCACCCCACCCCACCCCACCCCACCCCACCCCACCCCAACCCAACCCAACCCAACCCCACCCACCCAACCCAACCCACCCACCCAACCCAACCCACCCACCCAACCTAACCCAACCACCCGACCCAACCCAACCCAACCCAACCCACCCACCCAAGAGCAGGTAGGTAAAGGTAGGCAGGTAGGCAGGAAGGGAGGTAGGTACGTAGGCGAGGCAGGCAGCTGAGTAGGTAGGTAGGAAGACAGGAAGGTAGCAGGCCGACATCTAAAGATCTTCTGCCCAGGACCTATGTCGTGAGAAGCAAAGTCCTGGCCTCTGCTGCTTCTTGGACGTTCGCAATGCGCTTGATTTGGATCCAAGGTCACTTCCGCACCGCAAACGCAGGGACCTGTGCAACAGCTTTCGTCCGAGCATGGCTAGGGCAGCCTTTGCTAAGGTGTCAGCCGTTAAGCGGCATCGTCTCTGAGTTGACACCAGGTCGAGATCTCAGCACATCGCAATTTGAGCGTCGTAGGACTGAACATGGGAGCTTGAGTTGTGAAGCACGAGGCTGCCTCAAAGAGCACTTGGTTTGTGAACTATGATGGCATGGAAGAAAGAGCAAGAGACGTGGCATGGGCAATGCGCTTGCCAAACTGTCTCCATGCTCCATTGCAAGCGATGCAGATTATGCAAAGTTTTTGGGCAAGCTTCTCAAAGAGAAGCTGCCGCAGGGATTCACGACATCGTGGCATGCGCTTGCTTTGGCACGGTGCCGCAGACATTCCTGGCTCACGTCTGAGAGTTTCTCAGAGTTGACACCGGTGCAACCAGGACATCAAGTAATCGGGTGCATGCACCCAGACAGCCGCTCTGAACTCGCAATCGACTCGCTGTCTGTTGACCAGCAGTTAAGTCCTTACGCACTTGTGGGCATTCTGCCTCGGAGATCATCGGATGATCTGTCTGTGTCACCAGGTTTCCCTGAACACCTGCGGACCAGCGCTGGAAATCGACCATTGACAAACATGGCTTTGCTGCCACTTGCATCAATACCGCACGATAATGCCATGTCGAGCTGATGCCTATGGCCAAGATCGCCTGTTTACCGTTGCACATCTGCTGACCCAAACACGGGAAGTGAGATGAAGTAGGTGTGTCGAAGCTTCTTCACTCGACGTCGACAGTCACGAAAGGCACTTGAAGTTCCTGTCCTTTGCCAAGGCTACTAACTCATCACATGTTAGATGGCCCATGTCGCACCGCGGCTGCCTTTCGCCGCTGGACTTGAACGTGGGCGAGGCTTGCGGAGAGCTGCGGCAAGGCTGCACCCGCAGCTTCGTGGTTTGCGAAAGGAATTCCAACCACTGTCCCGCCTTCCCGGCAAAGTGGCGGCTGTAGGTGCTGCAGGAATGGTGACAAGAGGCCTGCCTTCCAAGGCTTCGGACAGGAAACGACAGCGAGAGCTTTCGTGGGAATGCAGCTGCAGAGATTGCCGCCTGGGAGGAATCGAGGGTGGGGCAGCTCGAGTGGAGGTGGCTCTGGCCCTTGAAGCTGGCCGAGCCAATGAAGATGGATGCAACGGAGGCATCAGGTGGCGATACGGCGAGCCAATGACATTCCATCGAACTTGCTGGGAGCAGCTGCTCGCCAACCGTCACTTGCAACTTGAGCATTGTCGTTCGTGGTTGTCATTCTAGCAGCACTGACATCATGTCATGTCGTGTCCCAGCCAGACCATGCCGCAAAGAGAAATGTATAGTTGTGTGACCAGCTCCGAGGACGTAGCCTGGCGAAATCAGATCTGCAACTGCTGCAAACGGCTGCATCCACGGCTGAGCATTTTGATGCCGCTTCTGACGCTGGGACCACGTTTCGGGGCCCAGAACATTTGCGCAAGGTTACGGGGGCAGACGCGGGGGTGAGTGCCGGTGAGATGAGGACATGGTGAGCCAAGCTGGGAAGGCCGCGGAGGTACTGCGCAAAAGCTCGTGCCTTGATTGAAAAACAAAGCTGAGAGAGGGAGGGAATTATTTTTATGAGCCTGTGCTTGCACTCGAGGCGAGCAATCTGCTTCACGGGAGCAGGGCTTTCTACAGCTGCCGGACTGGGTGATTATCGGGGCAAGCAGGGCAAGTGGACTCTCGAGGCCCAAGGCCTGGTTGGGGGTACCCCCTCCGCTACCCTGCCCTCTACGCTCCATTTGATGGGGTCGGGGTGGATCCATGTGACTTGTCTTAGTAGCGCTCTGTGAGATACCTTGAGGTCGGGGTGGACGGGGCCACTGGCCGCCGCGTATGGCCAACCCTTAAGCCCCAAAGCAAAGGGTCCAGGAGGCTCCGTCCTCTGGGCTCACCCGCCACTCGTCCCGCGAAAAGCCACATTATCGCACAAACAACACTCACATGGCTTTGCATTCCTTGCTTGCTTGCTTGCTTGCTTGCCTGTGTCAGCTCCGACTCAGGAACCTCAATCTGTGGTGCCACGCACCATTTATTCGTGCGCAGCTGGTAAAGCTGGTCTTGTAAAGAAAGAACGCTCTGAACCGCGATTTCTACAGCGAAGTTGATTTGCCACATCATGGAGAACTTCGCCGTATGATGCGTCCGAGTTTCTGTCTCGACCATGGATCGCCCCTTTTCCTGAGACATGGCCAAACTGGCTAAATTTCACAAACGGTTGTTCCACCTTCCTGGCTGTGATCTGCAGGGCCGGAAAGACTGGTATGCAGAGTGCATTTTGGAGCATCTTGGGCTGGGTATTATAGTATTGGTAGGCCCGCGCAGCTGTGTGCAGCCTCTGCGCGTGCGTGCTTTTTTCAATTCAGGCTCACGCGCTGCGATTTGTTGTGCCAGGCGACATTTCTTCGTGACACCCGCCTGCCCTCCCCAGAATGGGGGAGTGGAAGCACGCGTTCGAGCAGAGTCGCGCCACTGTCGTGTCTGCTGGCCCAAAAGCCAGGCAATTGCGCAGTGCAGCCGTGAGGGTTGGGTCTACCTGGCCATTGGGCCAATAGCAACGACAGTGACACGACAATGCGCGTGCGCGCAGGCGTCGTGAATAAATGTCGCGGGCACAACAAGTCTGAATTGAACAAGGCAAACAAGCAACCAACGACATTTGAGTGTGTAGGGTTCGCCGCGTGCGTCGGCCAACGCCCCGACGAAAACGGGCGGATACGTCATTGACAAAGCCAGCGGGGGGCGCCGCCCTGCCCCATTTATGGAATATTTTTCAATTTTTCAGCCAAAAGAGACCCGCCTAGGGCGTAGCAGCTCGCTCCACTCGTACTTGGCCGAGCGAAAGAATCTGCAAGACGCGCACTTATGACGGTCGTTCAATGGCCTGCTAAACTCCTGGCAGGTGCAGACCTTGCATACACCACGGTGTATGAGGAACTGCGGCCTACTTTTGCACACGAGGCTATCGCAAAGCTCGTGGAGATGGGCAAGACTTTCGGTACAAATGTATGTGCCTCACACGTTCAAGGCTTTGCACATTTCTGGAGTCGTCCTCCGTGGTCCCGAAGTACTCACGAGTTATCGTGCAGTGTCGAACGACTGCACTGTTCGTTGGGACAAGCCTGCTGGGTGTTATGCCCATAAGCGAATTTGACCCTTCGGTCTTGCCCTTTGCATACGCTCAGGATTGCATATGTTGTGAGCCAGAATGCAGATGGATTGCATCACCTCAGCGGAATTCCTTACAGCAAGCTGTCCGATGTTCATGGCTCCGCCTTCACAGAGTACTGCCCTAGCTGCAGAAAGCGCTATGTGTGCCGTGCTCAGCTTTTGGCACAGCTGCCCCTGATACCAAGCCCAACAACTAATCCTGCCGGAGGCGGAAATGGTACGTACCTGAAGATCGTGCAGAGGTGCCTTTGCTTGAAAGTGCGTGCCTGTTCACTTGAGATGAGACGTCTGAAGTTCAGAACGCCGCACTCGTGAATCTCAAGAAGCACAGCTGACTCCAAGGACTACTTAGCTGGCCTTCTTCCTGGTCCCATCCCTCCCCACATCCGACGATGCCCTGGATGCGGGAGCAATCATTGGACGGGCCGCAGCTGTGATGACTGCGGGGGGTGGTTTGCTGCATTTTCAACATTTTGAGACTTGTTTTTGCTTCCTGGGGCACTGAAGCCAAACATGTTTACTGGGCAGATCAAGGGTGTGATGGCATGCGGCGGCATGCGGTCGCTTAAGCTAAGGCCTTTGCATGACACGGTCATAAGCTTCGGGGATGGACTGGAAGAGTGCGTTCTTCGGCCAGCCTTTGAGTCGCTTGGCTGAGTCTAGTCTGCACACTGCAGCTACCACATGACTTCCCCCAACCACTCTGCGCTCTAAAGGCATGCGGCCGAGGCGGATGCTTGTCTAAGAACTTCGGCATGCACTATTCCTTTCTGGAATAGGTATTTGTGCGCCATGGTGTCCCTTTTCCCTGTAACAAGGGAGCGTTGGTACCTGTTTGATTTGCGCGGACATATAAGAATGCATTGCACTGGATTGGCGCTGAAGCTCAAGCTGTTCAGATGCTGTCGCGCAAACATGCAAGCCGAAGTGCCATTTATGGCAAAGGTAAGGGGAGTCATGACCGATTCTGGGCTACCGAACTCGTTCGGGTTTCTGAGGTGCGCCACAGCCTGTAGCGACTGTTGCGACTCTGCCATGCCAAATCGTTTCCCGGGCCCGTGTGTGGTATATAGTCCTAGTTCATGCATTGCGCAACCTTTCGTGACTAAGCAAGTAAATTTGAGTGGCTCAGTGACCTTATTCACTGTTTCCGTGTCGCCCTCGCAGGCAGGCGCCAGCTGCTTGCCTGCTTCGCATGAGCATGAAGATTTCGATAATGGTAGGGATGGCGTTCGTACGTGTGGTCATGTTGCTGATGATGGGAGCCCCACTGCCCAGCTACGTGTAGGCGTCGGGACATCGAAGAAGTAGCAGGCGACGCAAGTGCTATGTGCGAGCCCCTGTCGCCAAGGCCTGGGCAGTACAATGAGCATCGGGCCTTCCAACCAGGCTGATGGGAGCCGCAGGGAGCCTCGTGACGGACACAACGAAACTGCGCAGGTGGTGGCCATTCAGAAGGGGCCCTTGATCGTCTGCGTGCGACAGGCACTCGTTCGGGCACAGAACAGCTGCACGCAGAACCAACGACGCCCTGTCTTGCGAACCCGAGCTTTGTCCCTTGCTTTGACGGAAAAAGGGAAACTGGCTCAACATGGGTGCTTCTTTCGTACTATGTGCCCTGCAGGATACGGAAATGGACACTTTGTGCCAAGCCTCCGGAGACTTGGACAATCGAAAACCGGATCAGTGCGCACAACCGGCTAGGACTGTCGTCAACGGTCAGCGCATGAAAGGCGGTGTTCGGGTGCATGGAGATTCTTAACACTGCACGAGTTTTGGACCGGCCCTTTCCGATAAACATTGGGGATCAGCCGAACTCTGCCATGATTTACGTCAGCTCACCGCCAGGTTCATGCATCACGTTATGCTGGCTTTGTTGGGGGAGGAGCAGTTCAAGGATTGGGAGGTACCACTGCTGAGGGGGCACTTCACGTTGCAAGTGTCGCCCACTCAGCAGCTGAAAGCTAAGGCTTCCCTGAGCGAGAAGCGCGCCCTGTACAACTCCCAGCGCCCATCGGTTGGGAAACAACGAGGCGATATTTTCGCAGCTTGGCTCGACATTCTCACCCTGGATCCTGCTAGTTGCCGCATCAGTTCGTCGGAGGCAGAGTGCTTTGAGCACTGAGGTCAAGAAAGTTTGACGCGCTTGCTGCTTGGAGTGATAACGACGAGCTGATTGTCGGAGGGATGGCCACTTCAGCAGAAAAGTATGAAGCAAGCCACGTACTGAACCTCCCGAACGCTGTAGCAGCACGCGCTGAGTCGTCTAACTTCGCAGCTGTTTTCTCTCTGGGGCTGCTCTCTGGGGCTGGGAAGATGAGCAGGCAGCATGAGGCAACCAAGCAGGTTGAAAGTCACGCAATGATGCAAGCAACCGAGCAAGTCACAGCAAAAAAAGCATGAACACGGGATCTGTGTCAAGACCACACAGGAGCGAGTGTGACATGGAGTATATGCTGTATACGGTATACGTGTTGTGTCTACTTGTCTCCGTGTGGGAGAGTTGGCATGGCGATTTAGATGAGGGCTTCCAGATTCCAGCGCAGAGAACGCAGCCGCTCGGCACACTGGTGGCTTGCAGCACTCCTATTGATTTTGGGATTAGCGGGGCGGCTCAGTCCTCCATTGAGAGTTGGAGCTTGTTTATAATCGTCTCCTGGGTGATTTCAAGCTAGTTTCAGGGAAGAGTGACGGACCTTCACACCCCTTCCGCTCTGCCTCTTCCTTCGCTTGCTCGCGTTCACGCGCACTCTTCGGTTTGCTCGCCTATACTCACTCACGCACGCACACACCACCCCCACACACCCACACACACACACACACACACTCGCTCTTTCTCTCTCTCTCTCTCGCGCTCTATCTCTCTCTCTCCGAATGACCAGCTTGCGTAGCGAGGTCTTCCTCAAGACTGCCCAGATTGAGGAGCGACATCCGGAGCCCACGCAGAAGGTCTCACCAACATCCGTGATTGCAGCCTGCTCATCGAAGCCTCCTTGCTCTGCACCTGGCATACTTCCGCCACCTCTCCTGCGGTCCTTGATCAGATCTTGTGGTGCTGCGAAGTATTTCCTCCGAGAGGGAAGACGGCAGGTGGACAGAATCATTCTTTTGGTGGAACCCGACCAGTCACTATCGCGGTGTTCGGCAATGCCCAGCCTACCGCTTGAGCGGAAGAGACGGAGCTCAGGTGTGTAGCTCCGCCTATACCGGACTCGACAGCTTGCTTGGTTCATTTCGCGGCAAACAAGCGCCAAGCCGGTCCATGATCCTGCAGAGCCCGGAAACCGTCTTCTGCACAAAAACCACATGCTACGCAGGGATGACATCCGCACTGGCATTGTGGCATCACCACGCCTTTGTGCACACGGGCCACGCAAAGGCGAGTCAGTTCAGTCACTGGTCGAAGATCTGACCTCTGAGAAGGGCTCGTGAGAAGAACATCACGCCTCTGCTTGCGGCAGGAGGCTACTGAGCAGTCTTTGGTCATCTTTGGTCACAGAGAACTTGTGCACGTGAGAGCATAGAAGCCATATTCAGGCAACGAGCTCTTGTGAGGACGCAGTTCCAGGAGGGCACGCATGAGCTGCCCTGGTCTGGGACAAGGCGGGATTCTTCCTCAAACCATCAACTATGTGGAGCCTTGCCTGGCTTGTGCGAGAGCGAGAGTCGAAAACCCATCAACAGCTCCACTCCCATTGTGAGGCTGACGTCTTGAGTTCTCTTCCATGTTCCTGTCTCGACAGTGCCGAAGTCGTGGATTGTCAAACTCTACGACTCTACGAATCAGCCCCGCAATTGAAGGCAGAGGGCTGGGGGGTCGTTTGAGGCACTCTCCGAAATTCTGGGCTGACTTCCGTTCCAACGCGTACTTCTTGTCTCCTCTGTTTTCCATCAGGGAGCAGAAAGTTGCGCCCTGAGGTCATGACGATAGGCGTAGAGTCATAGAGCACATCGCTTGACCCAAAGTGTGTTCAGGCATTGGTGACATGAAGGAATGTTGGATGGTAGTACGCTGCAATATGCTGCAAGCATATTCATCATCGCTTCTGGTCCTCCGTCTAGAGTTCTGTCACTGATATATGATAATGGCAGCTGCGATGATGATGATGATGATGATGAAGATGATGATGATGATGACGACCATGATGATCTGACGATGATGGCTGCTAAGTTTGCCAGTGATACGATTTGTCGTCACTAGGCGGTGCCAGCAGTATCGCCGTTCGTTCGCAAAGCGCATCCTGTTTGCATTCAATGTCGCTTGTTGCGAGTCTCCCTTCATCCAATACCCTTGCTCGCCTTCGTGTTCAAGTTTTGACGGTCTGCTTCTGCTACCCACTGAAGCAGAGCCAATCAATTACCACCTTTGGCATCCATGCGAGTGGCCCCTTGTGCAGCACATTAGGCGATGCATTCACAGTAGGGAGAAACGATGGACAATGAAACACAATATGACAAAGTAAGCCAGGCCAAGTCCCAAAGGGAAGGAAGCCAAGCGCTCCTTTCCAACCCATGTTTCTGCAAACATGTGGTCTGGGATTTTTTGTCATGTGTGTCTACATCATCCTTCAACACCCCATCCTGTCCCTCACCGCAACACTGCCGCACCCATGGCCAGGCGGAGGAAGATCAGTCCAGGGAAGGGCCAGGTTCCGGGCTTACTCGGAGCGGAGAAGGATGTGTGGACTTGTCGGGTCTGCTCTGCTTGTAGTTCGCCTGCATGCCCATGTTGCCTGCTTCATCACGGGGCTGACTGGAGCTGGCCTTTGATTCTCAAGACGCGGCCAAACGAGGGTAGGTTCTTTCAGCCCTAGACGCTTCTTGACTGCACAAACGGCAGAGCTGCAGAATCAGGATAGTATGCGCGTTATTGCTTGTCTGTTTGACCGAAGGTGTCGTGGAGGCATGGCTCCGTCGATGATTGTGGGATGCCTTTGGTTCCTCATGATCGCCTTCATGTTCTTTGCGCAGCATCATGTTTGTGATGCATACTTCGTACCTGCAATCAATGTCTTTGTCGGCAAGATGAAACGAAGTGACAACACGTGGTTGCAGCGCTGGGGCCAGGAAGCAGTGGCTGGAGCTACCATTTGCGCTCTGGGGTGCAATGGACCGGAGATGTTTACCAACCTCATCTCGTTGTACACAGGCTCGGATGCCGGAATTGGTGTTGTGGTTGGGTCGGAGATCTTCAATCTTCTTATCATCGTTGGTTTGACAATCTCAGCAGCACCAGTCCTGCCTCTTGCTCTGGAGCGCGTGCCTTTTGCTCGCGACTGCATGTTCTACGCGCTGTCCATCGCCTTGCTGTACTGGGCACTGCTCGATCACAAGATCGAGGCTTACGAAGCATGGGTGCTGCTTGCTGCAGCTGGAGTCTATGTAGCTTGTGTGTATTTTACCGACGACTTCGTTCAGTGCATTCCGGCCTTACGCCCGGAAAAGGCTGAGGTGGGTTCGGAATCTCCTTCGAAAAAGAAAGGGACGATGCATGGAGTGGAGGTTGACGTTGAAGAAATTCTGCATGGTCGCATGGTGGATGCCCACGGGGGGGCCACTGAAAAATGGAATCTCGATGCTACCGAGCATGGGATCTACGCGGAGCCAAATAAACCCCCGGTAGAACCAGAACCGAAAGCCAACGCCCGTGGCTCCCTTGGCTTCACATTTGCCGGCGGTGGAGATGCGCTGCTAGGGCCAATGTTGAAGTACAAAGACTTGAAGGAGGTGGTTCTCATGGACATGGGCGTTATCAATCTGGAGTTTATCCACAACCTGCAGCACATCACTCTAAGGCTGACGGTGGAAGATGCGGCAAAGCGCACGGAGCTCTTGAACAATATCCAGGAGTATTCGCTCTGCAGGCCCTGGGTCCATGGCTACGATGCAACTATTCGTGGCGCCTGGCAGCATCTGTACCACACAATGGTCTCCAAGGATCCGCTTCTTGACAAGCTCCTTGCTATCCCCCACTTCCTCATCGATGGCTTGCTAAAGCTTACGCTTTTCGCCGTGGATGTGAAAGATGTCAGAAAAGAAGGTCGGTGGCCTTTGTGCTTTGTGGGGGCCATGTTCTGGCTTGCGATCTTCTCCTTTTTCATGCTGGAGATTGCCAATCAGATCCACTACAACATACCAGCGCTTCCGAACAGCTTTTTGGGTATCACAGTTTGTGCCATTGGCACCTCGTTTCCCAACGCTGTTGCGTCTGTGCTCATGGCACAGCAGAACAAGCCGGCAGCAGCGATTGCCAATGCTCTTGGGTCGAATGTGCAGAATGTCTTCCTTGCCATGGCACTGCCTTGGGTCATCTTCCAATTCCAGTACGGTGGAAAGCCCATTGACCAGAATGTTGCAGGCATCGACGAGGGCGTGCTCTGGATGAGTGGCACCTTGCTGTTGGTGGTCTTCTTTGTTTTCCTTCCTCCTTTCTGTAAGCTCTCCTATGCCTACGGCCCAGTCCTCGTCTCGGTGTATCTGGCTTACCTCGTCATCACTAGCGGAGAGACCTTCCACTGGTGGCCTCCGCTGGTCAAATGAAATTTCCCGACGCTGAGCGGAGTGTACCATAGGACCGAGCTGTGCAGACCGGAGTATCAAGCAGGCGTGGAAGGGCCGGGAGCTTGCCACAATAGTAATTCATGATGTGCCGTCGTCCTGATTGCCAGACGACTGATCGGTTTATGGAAGGATGGCAAAGGTAACGGTAGAGCGGGTGGGATAAAAGAAGGCTTCAAAGCACATGCCCGCGCAGACTGTTTTGCCGTATTGGTGTCAGCGGACGCAGACTTGGGTGATCAGGCAAAAGGTTGCTGGCACCCTCGACGATGGTAATGCTGGATATTACTGGCAGGTGCGCCCCCTGGCAGCATTGGATCAACATGGGGTATGTTTCTCTTGACCGCATCCTGCATCAGGGCAATCAGTCCTACACAACGTTAGGCAGTTATGCACTTCACAGTTGTGCAAGCAGGGCGAAGCAATGCCATAGTATATTCAGCAGTGAATGCTGCGCTTTTTGCGGGGTCGGTTCGCTCCTCTTTGCTTCCTCGTGCAGCCAAGATTGATTTTCTCTTCGCTTCCTTGCTTTGCAATGCCAGTATTTCTCTACTTCTTGACAGGTCGCTCAAGCCGAAGCCCCTCACAGCTTTTTGACAGCTGTCTGGCAGGTGCCAAGCTTTCGACCCCTCGGGGACTCGTCAGGGCTTGACAGCCGTAAATGCTGCGAAGATTTGTGCGCACATCCGCCAAACTAATGAACAGGACGCGTGCACATCGGATGACGCTGGCAGGGCAAAAAACTTACAGTCCCTCCCTCAACCACGCCTTTGATTGAACAACTTCCAGGTTGCCTGGTATCTACTTCTGAAAGGGTTCCGACCAACAGTCCAACAAGTGCCAACCTGTACATCTGGAATACAATGCCTAAACAAGAGAGGGTTGGAAAAAAAAACAACAAGGCTGAGAAGTTGCTCGGCTCGCTTGCAATCCAAAATGCTGAGACATCTCTGTTGTAATGCACGTTGAGATGGACTTTCCTATCAACGGTATCACGTTTTTGTGTACGGTTCTGAAACTTTGCGATGGTGTCGCCAAACTTCTTCATGTCGAAGCCTCGATCCTTCAAGCGACGTTTGAAAAACTTCAGACTTGCCGAAGCATCGTTTCTCAAACGATTCCGCTTTTGACACCGTAAAGCTCCACCGATCTGCAAACTCTTGAAAGTACTGCTGGGATGGTTGCTACGCTCAGGAACGTAAAGTTAGAGGTTCTGCTCCTTGTGATACAACTCCCAACGGATGATGCTGAGCGCGACACCCAGGAAATGAACATCACCAACACCTGAGAGCTCAAAGCGTAAAGACTCATGCCAAGAATTTGCCAACGAAGCCAGCTTGTTCACATCTCCAGACCACAGAAGCAGCAGATCGTCAATGAAACGACACATCATTGGCATTTGCTCACCACTCGCAGTGACTCATCAATCGTTTGGACTTGGCTCAGAGCTGCAACTGGGCCAGAGTCAAATTGACAGACCCAGAAGTAGAATGAAGAGGCCTGCAAGAGGCGTTGGGCGACCTGTTACAGTCTCGTTTCTAGGGCTTACAGGTCTCCGCCTATTGCGGTGGATGGGGCCTTCTCATAGCTCTGACAGGCAGAACCAGTTTTTAAGGCTTTGCGTTGATCTTTCATGTGGCCATGCGCTCAGTCTTCCTGCGATGTTCTCATCGCCAACATCCTTCTTCAAGATCTTCGGGGTCCAGCAAGAAAACCGGGGTCCAGGAGCCAACATTCTGCCTCACTTTCGAGTGCTGAGTGTTGAGTCTGAGTTGCTGCCCGAGCCTCTCACATTGACTGAAGCCATGCAGCCTCACGCTGGTGTAGTGGCTCGAGGTCCACTAGCTAAGTTCAGGCCTGATTTCGTTTTGCTTCATGGCAGCCGCCCAGATTCCGGAGCCATTGAAGCCCAACCTGGGAACTGCCGTGCGCTGCGCTGGGATGGTCCTCTTCGCGTGGGCATGGCTGAAGACGTGGCGGGAACTTGTTCATCACCTGCAACATGTTCTAGCTGACGGCATTGCGTATTTGCACTATGCAGAGCACTCCTTGCCATTTGCCGTCTTGTTGACAGGGCTGTTCGCAACAAACATCTTGGGCTTTCTCCACTACAAGAAGGCCGCGAGGACCCGCATGGCAGTGGCTGCTGCCTTGGATCTGGACACGATGTATGTTGTGAGCACCAGATCGCGACAGATTGTGAGAAACCTACCTTGCCCCGAATGGGACGAGCTTCAACTGCGGCAGGTTGTTTGGCGCAGCATTCCTTTGGCCATCGTCACGTTCTTCTTGCAGGTCCACCAGAGTGTCGAGATTCCGTGTTGTCAAATGGCAGCTTCGCTGTCGGTCGCAGGAGCGGAGATGTTCAACAGACCGATTCATTCGCGTGCACGTCGCTGCGACTGGTCAGATGCACATAACTGGCCAGGCCCGTGGATGAACGGAACTACGCATTTGAACCTGACCGGAGTGCTGGGCTCACAGTACACTTACCCGGAAATTTACGGCGAGAAGGCATTGACTGTTGTGCGGGAATCCTCCATACTTGATGTAGAGAAGAGCATGTGGAAGTCCTGCAACTGTGAAGCTTCAACATGGAGCGTGCACACCGTCGGCTCCAGGGGTTCTCTTTACGGACGTGCTGAAGATATCCTACTTCCGTACCTCAACGTGAAGATTGAGGATGGAAAGATGGGCTTCCCAGGCAGCGGCAATCTCCTTGCGCTCAACTTCATGCTTCAAGACCAGCTTCGAGCAGGTGTCGTCGGCGATACGAAAATTCAGACCGACGTCATGAAGCTACTGCAGAAAATTGGACGCAACATGAGAAAGGAGGAGAAGAAGGGAAGCTTTTGGAAAGGCCACGCTGTCTCTGTCCTTGGAGGGATGAAGGTGTCCTCCGACTGGTCGGGCACTGTCGGCATGCTGTTTGACAAGGCCCGCGCGAAGGTACTCGACAGAAAGAAGAATGGGTATGACAAAGACCTGAGTTTGTGCCCGGCCTTCTCGGAGTACCGCTCAGTGCGCCAGACGAGACCTGGCAAGTGGCTAGAGTTGGTCGCGGCTTCGTGCCTGCTCCTCAACGCAGCGGTTCCCATCGTGAAGCGGGTGGCCCGTGAGCGAAGCCTCACCACCAAGTCCAATGTCTTTGTCGTTGCCATTCACATCATCTTCGACTTGTTGCTCTACACGAGTGCGATGTTGATGGCGGCAGGAGGACTTATGGTGCACCCCTTGGCTGTTGTGACGGATGCAGGTCTTGACTTCTTCCTCCAGTCCGTGAAGGAGCTATTGCAGAAGGCTTCGAATGCGCAGACTTGGCCGGAGATCTCGCGCCAAATGAGTGCGCACTTGAAATCTCCCGCCTGGCTGGACGGTGTTGAACAAGTCAGCAAACAAATTTCTGAGAAGGTCGTTCCAGGGATTGCGTTGGGCGGAGCTACAGTCTTGAAACTGCTTGCCGGCGTGGCAACATTCTGGCTCCTGTCAGCTTTGCTGGCTCGTCAGACTGTGCCCAAGCATCTCAAACTTTCGCTGCATAGCAGCCTCTCCATTGGCCCATGTGGGCCATTCATCCTGTTTGCTCAACTCCCTGGAGAGAGCTTGGCGAAGCTCTCGGGTTTTGTGGAGCAACAGCTCGTGGTGAGAGAGCTTCTGCTGCTCTTGCTGCCGCTGCTGCCCTGGATGTACATGGATGGAGGAGATGTGCGAGTGGCCCTCGCCACCTTGCTGAGCCGCCTTATCGAGCCCGTGGCCGTCTGCGCTGTTTGGGGTGTGGCGGTCTTTCTGCACGCAGTCTCAGGCTTTGCAGCCGTGGCGGCTGTGCGCAAGAGCCACAAGACGGCGCAACAGGCTCTTGTTGCCAGTGAGCAAAAGCCAGACATCGAAAGGACACCCCATTCTGCAGATGAAGTGCATCTTCAGCCCGAGCCGCTGGCGGAGAAGCGGCGCTTGTCGGTGACTGGGCCGTACGGTTCCTTCCTGGCGCCACCTCGGCCAGATCTCCCAAACCGCAAGTCAATCAGAAAGTCCCGGGTGTAGAGGCGTCGAGCTTCGGGGCGTCAATTCTCCGAGAGATACGCATGTGGCATATGCGTAGAAAAGAAGGGAAATCATCCGAACCTAGCGGTCTGAGTTTGAACTCGGTAGTCAAAGTGCCCCCTGCAAGCCCTATAGCTTCAAGCCCTATAGCCCAAGCGATCTGACAACTCAGCGCAGGACACCGGATGTTTCGACCGCGCCTTCCTGTTCCAAGTTGACCTCCTCTTAGTCTGCATGATATCAGATGTCTTGCAAGATGGCGCGGCCCTCACTTTTTTGATACACCGTCATCTTGGAAATGCAGATATCTGAGGTGATTTCGCGCTGGCCGTTGCTGGAATTCACGCTGCAAACGCAAGCGGATCTAGTTTGAAAGCTAACCGTACTCCATGCCAGCTTGAATGTTCACTATCTGTAGGGAGCATAGTTGGGGATGGTGTGCTTTGACTTTGCGCGTAACTGCCAGACTGGCTATGCGTGAATTGATTTCCGATGTTGCAGTTTCATAGGACATGGAGACCATGGGGCCGCAGGGTTTGGGTTTGGATGCTGTCGCGCATGGATATTTAGGGATTCTGATGTTCAGGTTCGGTCCATTGCAATGACGTTGAAACATGCCGAGGAGCCCGCAAAGCCTCTAGAGAGGCACTACCGAGGTACCAAAAGGACCCTCTGGTCGTTCGTTGAAACTTGAGGGCTCCACGAAACCCACTTGAAGGGTACAGACGGGCTTGGACATGGAAAACCGACCCTCGGACATTTAAAAAAGCCGCGTTTTCGTTATCTTCTTAAAGGGTCGCCGCTTTCTGTTCGATGGCTGTGGTCGGCGGAAGAAAGTCGAGTTCCATGAGGCCTGTTTGCACCGCTTGGTACGTGCAAGTCGTTCGGCAGGCTCAGTGGCCACGCGGCATCTTTGCGGGTGTGGCAGGTCCACAGCTGAGCGGGGAAGACTCAGGGTCTCGCAGCACCATGCAAGCGAGAGCAAGCTGTTGTGATCGTATTGGACTGTCGCAGGCAGGGGCACGCGTGACAGTTACGTCTAAATCCCGCAGCGCGAAGGGCCCAAGTCTGATGGAACGACATTCCAAAAGCGGGTGCTGCGCCCGGCTGCAGAAACTGGCAGATCGCACCTTTCTGTTGCATGGCGACTCGGATAAAACGCACTACTGGGCATGTCTGGGAGTGAGGAGTGCGGGTACAGTCCAGGGTTTTTCGAGGCGGCCGAGAAGAGGAAAGCCATGGGTGTGAGCGAGATCACCACCGAAGCAGGGTGTCGAACGAGTTGCCGATTTCCCCGTGCTTGTTGCACTCGGTGTAGTGTCGCTGGAGACGAGTCCTCTTGCAAGGCTGCCTTCCGAGAAGCTATCGCGGGCCATGCTGTGGTTTTGGTGCCCCGCTTCCTTATGCCGACATGTCCTTCAGCGTTCTGTGCAAAGAGAAAGGTGTACTTCAGCTATGGTCCAAGAACAGCGGAAGCGCCGTTCTCACTCGGCCGCCTGCCGGCACTCTAAACTCTTCAGCCCAGTTCCAGATGATGCAGTTTAACAATGTGCCACTCGCATTTAAGGTGATGAATTTGACCCGCAATTCCAAGAATTCGGTGAGTCAGAGGAAGTGATTCCCCCGCCTCTTGCCTTCAGACGAGAAAGTTCGACTCATGTGCACAAACCGAGCAATCAAAGCAGCTGTGCTCGAGGTTATGCAGAGTAACCCACGCCGATGCAACACGGGAAATTTTCGCAAGCACGGGAATTAGCAGCGCGGATGGTGGCAGCTTAGCTCTCTACAAAGAGGGCACGCAGCTCGCGAATGTCTCGCTGAAGGCTTTGCATGAAAGTGAGGAGCTTGAAGAAGAAATTGCTCGGTGGCTTTCTGGATCCTTTCCGACGGAGCATCAAACTCCGGAAGCCACCGATGCCGTCCCTCCTCGACCGCAGCCTGCACCCACAGCAGCAAGCCCTGTTCTGGGACAGACGCCTGGAACTACGTGCGGCGCTGCCCCAAAAGGCCCACCACCAGGACCGAAAGAACCACCAACAAGTCCCGTTCCAGGACAGACAGCCGGAGCTACTTGCGGCGCTGCGCCAAAAGGACAACCGCCAGGACCAAAACTATCAGGCCAACCAACAACTACAGTCACATTTGGGGCTGCGCTTGCGGGACCACCGCCTGGACCAAAAGTCGCAGCGAGCCCTGTTCCAGGACAAACGGCCGGAGCTACATGCGGGGCTGCCCCGAAAGGCCCACCACCAGGACCCAAACCACCAGGCCAACCAACGACCACAGTCACATTTGGGGCTGCGCTTGCGGGACCCCCGCCTGGACC